AAACATTATTTTCTTACCAAATACAATTTCATTCTATCTAGGAAATAAAAGCATTCTAGGAAAAGGAATTACTTAAATGAGATTTACAGGGGAAATACAGGAAAATTAATATAAAATTATTTAAAGAGCATTTGCTAGAAGAGTTTATATTACATATGATGTGCCCTACTATATGCGAAAGAAGAGAAAAATAAAACCTTCACTCACCTTTTAAAGACTATCCTGGTCTTGAGCACTTCTATTTTTAAGTTACTAAATAAGTTTTTTTACATTGTACATTTTTATTGTTTACAACATATAAAAAATAGAACCATTTCTAATATTTAAAAATAAATAATACATCTTAGATTTTTAAATACTTAAGTTAGTTTCTAACAGAATTATCTGAAATACTAGCAGTAGCATAAACATATACCTAGTAAAATTATGAAAGCATACACTCAACAATTGTTTAATGAGAGAAATTAACAGTTTGCTATTTAAGAAAAAATACCAAAAGAAAAGAGGGATTCATTACAATTCAGGATCTGTTCAGTGAGTTAACTTTATGTATTGATACAAGGAATAAAAATACAACATACATAAGAATTATGCAGAGCCACAACACGGCGTTAACAAAGGTTAAAAACAATCATTCCACATTGACTAGTCACAAAAACACAGTCATTAAATTAGCAAACATAGGTTAAGATTTATATTCCTGTCTCTTAGTCATGCTTATAAATATTACAACAAAAGATTTCCCACCAGGAGAAAATTTAATGTATATTCCAACTTTCTTCCTAGTTTTATTTTAACGACTTAGCATACTTTAATTTTGCTTTAAAGTGTTTGAAATTTCATGTCATTCACATATGTATATGTATACATTTATATACACATTCTTAAATCTCTAACCTAGTGAATAAGATCTGCTGATATTAAAATTACCCATGAGAGATTAACCTGACCTGTTAAGCAGCACAAAGAGATAAAAGGTTGTATCTGGTTTTAACAATAAAACTTCAGCCCCCTTGAGCTCTTTTAATGTAAAAGGCTAATTTAAGGAGTAAAATTCTTCATATCATGAAAGACCCAGACATTCTAACTGTATGTATATATATATGTATATATACTTTATACCTATAAAAAGTAAATAAACATTTGTAAAAATACTGGTATAAACATTTATTGTGATTTTTTAAATTTCATCTTTGTCAAAAAATTTTATCATTAGTGCAAAGACTGAACTGATGAACTTCTTTTGAAATAGATATGCAGTAAACAATGAAGAATTGTGTACTTGTCTTATTTTGTAATTAGTGGTTATTGTTTTCTTAATCATTTGTTTTTCTGAGGTTGAAAAAGTCACTATGCACAGGACTTTGACGAGCACTCAGTTTTTTCACTTGTGGCATCATTTATATATAAAAAAAGAGCAGCAAATACGAACTGAAATATAGTATTAGACACTTTCCAGAAACATAATATGTAAACACTATGTGAGTTTGTGCACTTTAAATTTACACATTATAGGCCAATTATATCTCAAAGCAGGGGGAAAATATGTATCATACTGAATATGTATGAAAGGTTGATAAGCCTTAAAATGTTTTAAAATATTAAACAAAGGTTCAAAAACATCTAAAACTGACCCCAAATGAATATGTAATTCTAATATTCTATAACTTTAAGTACATTTTATGTTAAATTTTGAAAGCATTATAATGTTTACTATCTAGAAGAGGACTTTGCAAACTTTTTCCCAAAAGGGCCAAACAGCATATATGTCAGGTTTGGGGGCCATACAGTCTTTTTTGTAACTAATCAACTCTGCTTTGTGGGGCAAAAGCTGCCATAGATCATACATAAAAAGTGTGCATGACTGGGTCCAGTACAACTAATTTACAGAAACAGGCAACGAACCAGATGGATCCATTGGCTATAGTAAACTGACCCCAGAGACAAAAAATCTGACTCAAAAACAATTTAAGGTACTTCAATACCCGCCTAGCATAAAGCAGGAGACACGGTAAATCCTTAACGCTTTGTGAATTAATGAGGTGATGAAGGAGAAGGGAAACAAATATCATCGCCATTCACCATCTCTGACTGCTGGTCGGGAGCCCCCTTCCCACCTGAGGCAGAATTCCAGGGCGGCAGCCCATGCCTTCTTAAAAACTAGCTTACAAACAAAATCAGTAAAATGAAGGAAAATGTAATGTAGTAAAGAGAAAGTGAATTTCCAATCTAAGACGGCTCACAAAAAAATGGTTATCTTGTGGTGAATTCCTATGTATTTCCAATCTCTCCAACTAGACTGTAAACTCTACAGGCCAAGAAATGTTGGGTGTTCGTGTCTAGGATACAGCAGATGGGCAGTGAGCATTTTAAGTAAATGTGAGAATGCTTTCTACGGCCAAGTGTTTTTTATTAGTTTCCACAAAGTGATGGTTCTCTGATACAGCAATTTAACTCTAAGATCCTCCTATATAGTTTATATGTTCTGTTGTTTTCCATCAGCCACACTGACTATAAAGATGCATTTCAGCCTGAACTAGAACTTGACCTGCTCTTCAAATGGCCTGAGTTAAAACTTGGGTTTAGATCTCATTGTAAAGCTTTGACTTGAGCAAAGAAAAACAAGTGTCGGCATCAGGGTTGGTTATAAAATTGAGTTATAATTATTTTCCAAGTAAAGAATGGCTTAACTTCATAAATTTAAATAGAAATAGATTACAGACTCAAATCAGTTTTCAACTGAAAATACACTTTGTTGTTCACAATTTAAAATCTCAAAAGTGACCAAAATGCTGATTTCAATATATTTATATATTAATTATTCTTCAAAGCCTGGATATTTGAAAAATAGTAGAGAAAATAAATCATTCACGAACAAAATTATGGAGTCTATGGCTCCAAAAAAATAAACAAAAAAAAATTAAAGCATCCCAAATACAGTAACTCCACACAGTGGAAGAAATGAATATTCACATAAATTACTATGTAAATCATATTTTCCAAGATTATGGAACAAACTGGAAACAATTCACTTTAAGTAAATTTCTCTATCTTTTAATATTTTCACATTTCCAAACAAAATGCTAAGTCTAACAATGACGAAAGCAAAGTGTGAAGGAATGTAATTTGTTTCTGGATCAGTTATTGGACATTGACAGACAAAAGTCACACACAGTTAGACACTCAAAACACAGCCTTGACTTGCCATTGTTACAAGCACATTTTAACATTATATATAAATACAAAAATAGAACATTTATGATTAACTAAAGGGCACACTAAAGATGTACCGGAGAAAAATATTTGCATTAGAATAGTGATATGGTTCAAAATTCACTTATAAAAAATAAATATATATATAAAGCTATTACATATATATTACAGTACTTGAAATTGAATGGATTCTTATTCCAAACAATTGAATTTAATAAACACAAGCCAAGATGGCCAGTAGTCTGCTTTAAAAAAAAAAAAATCAGAAAATATAGTGTGTGCATTACAATTTATAAAGAGAAGAAATTAAAGTAAAAGGGACATAATAACAGAAAGGATAAACAAATAGAATAAAATAATACTATTGTACCAACTTCCACGGTCCCCGATGCCATAACACGTCATCAGAGCAAGCGTGCCCGTGACACTGAGCCACACTAGGTGGCTTGTTTAACATTTCACAGTTTTGCTCGTGTGACATCTGGCCATTGGGAAACTGACATATTACGGATCTTGCTTTTAGTCCTCCTCCACATGTTTTTGTACACTAAAAATAAGAAAGTCCAAAACTATGTGGCTTTAAAGAGAATATTATATATCCTTCAACGTTTACTATGTAATTAGTAATATTAGAGTTTTCAAGTTTATTCATTTTTTTATAATTCTCAACATTTCTTTCTGGGTAAACAAAAAAAGTTTTGGTTCCATAATTTTTTTTAAAATAGACAAAATCTTGAAAATACCATATTTCAGTAGGATACCAAGGGTCTGTAAGACAGACAGGTTAAGCCAGGAACAAATTGATTAACTTGAGCGGTAAGTTCTGTTTAGTTGATGTTTGGGTATCCATCAATAATCACTATGTAGCCATAAAAGCTAATGAGGCAGATCTACATGGGCGAGCATGGAAAGGTGTTGAGTACACACTACAGGCAGACAGCAGGCGGCAAAGCAGCGCGTCTGAGAAGGACCTATTTCCGGAGCCCACGTAAAGCCAAAGTCTGGAAGGAAATGCACCAGACGTTCTAAGTTCTTATCTCTAAATAATTTTCACTGAATTTTTACAATGAGCATGTCTAAACTCAGGGGGAAAAAATGTTACTTTCATTTTGGAAAACAGTAAAGGTAAATTTTTTAAATGTACTTGGTATTTATTAGCACCTGGCCAGAAGTGTATTTTTAAACAATGATTTCCAAATTCCTTATGAGGAGAAAATCTGCACTAAAAAAATCATTAAGCAAAAATATTTGACTAAATTAGGTGGTTTGTTTCATTCATCCAAAGCCAATATACATCTTTCTTATTCTTTCTCATCCACAATACAGGTAGGATTAGTATTTATTATAACCATTTTAAAAACCATCTTCATATCCCATAACTAGAAGAAATACCAGGAGGTGAAGAAGGTGTGCACCTGACGACTGTTTCAAAGACTGGCCAGACGAATGGCTCAGTAACAGGATATAAACATGGCCCACATGTATCAATCTAAAATCTCTAAGAAATTAAAACAATAACATACTAATTTTAGAAAAGAATTAGTAGTTTGCAGACATATTGGCTAGCATATTATATTGTTAAAGAATCTGGAGTACAGACTTCCTATCATGAATGAGTGACTTCATAACACGATAATATATATTTTTTAATGGTTTTACTCATTCAAAAAAATTCTTTCTGTATAGCCTGGTGAGGAAAGATTACCCAACAGTTAACAGAATGGGGTGCTGAGCTCTGGGTCTTCAGAGATGTCCGAACCCCACAAACTGAGGAAAGGCTGACTTACTTCTCCCCAGCTCCCGGGGCGCCACCGAGGACAAGGTCCTGCGTCGCAGCGCCTGGACTCCGGGGGCCTGGAGGCGGCGCGGCAGTGCCGGGCGCTCTGCCCGTCCTCGTCCTGGCACACCACGGCTCTGCGCTGGAGCCCCGCGCCGCAGCTGCGCGAGCACTGCCGGGGGAAACGCGGAGAACGCAGGCTGAGCACCGGGCCATGGCGCGGCCAGACAGACACCGGGACCTGGACTCGAACTCACGCCCCCCACTTCAGAACCTCCCTCACTGGAATCACAATTTGAATTGGGAAAAATCTGCCAAGCGATTGAAACTCTCAGCTTCCTCAGAGCTTGCTGATGAAAAGGTGAGGCTTTAAAGCGCTGCCACAGCAAATTCACCCAGGTCCTACGTGTTAAGAAGGAATTGAAGCTTCAAGGTCTCACTAGGGAGGGACAAAAATCAAAAGGTAGTGTTGTTCCTTTCACACTTTTATTTGGGGTCATTCAGCTCAGGTAAGACATGAACCGCAGGTGCACCGTTTGTGGCCAGCGTGATTTCACCTGTTTACTGCATCGCTACCGCTCCTGGGTTTGATTTTTTCCATAAACATTTGCAGTGTTACCTCTTCAAAGATTCTGTTTCTATTGTCGTGGACTCTGACCGGATTGTTTTTAAGTACATTCCTCTGTAATCATGACATCACATTAAGCTATAATTCAATAAAAACTCTGGGGATTTGTAATCTGCATAAAAAACTGCTTAGTCCTTTTCAGATTTAAGTTACTGATCTTCAGATAAACTTAGCATTAAAAGCATGTGACGTCATTACATACTTATCTGTTAAAAGGCTCTAGTAACAAAATTATAGAATCAATATAACTCAATAAAGATGGCTTACTGAGCCCCATGGCCCTGTTCTCCACTGGTCTCCTCTGATTGATGGATGGACCTCCTGATTTGGATTATCTTCTGGTTTGTGGGTTAATGGAAAATTCCTGCCTGGAAAATGGCTTGGCCGCTCGGAGGACCTCGGAAAGTGACTGTACGTGGGTGGGCAGGCTGCCAGGTCGCATTCTTGTTCTATCAAAGGGCGAACTTCAGGATCACAGTAGTTCTCATTAATCGGATGATGGTAGTTGATGCATAAAACCTGTCGTGTCGTTTTTCCACGGCCACAGGAAGCTGAACACTGATCACAGATTCAGCCAACATTCAGAATGTGATGAGCTACATTCCCACAGTGCATATCAAATATTACATTTAAAATTTTCATTTAGTTTTTTCTTATAAAAATACCTACAGGTGACCAAGTCCCAGTTTGCCACTCTCCACAAGGGCTGAAACAGGCAGCTATTTCAGCAGGTCGGGCTGAATGGGCACAACACGACTCATCTGCTATTCCATCACGAGCATCACGACAGCTTACGTAGCGGGCCCGAGTCCCTCTTCCACAGGACACGGAGCACTTCAAAAAGAGTCATACATACCAGGGGTATCCTAGTAACTCTTCCACTCCAACATGGCTGTTGTTCAAATTTCTAAAACATGAAGATTCTTGAAAAAAATTATGAATGACACCACCTAGCATCACTTCTGAGTCAAAGACAGGGCACAGAACATCCCAATCAGCTTACATTATAAATTTCACAAATCGGGTATTTGTGATATAATGAGAACATTCAACTTTTTGGAATAGTGGTAATTTTCCAAAATTAAATAAATGGAAAACATACAAAAGAACCTTAAGAGATCATTTCAAGTTACCTTAAAAGACCAATAAAGTAGATATGATCCTATAAAATATTCAGAGAATGTAAAGCTTGAACATATACCTTCTGTGTAAGATTAAAGCAAAGTATATTCTCCAAAAAATGAAAGATTTCCATTTAGAAAAATATGAAAATGTCGGTAGTTTTAAAAAGGCTAATAAGAAGCCTAATAACACTTCTGTTTCTCATAACAATCAGTGACATAAATATTATCATCCCCATTTTGTAGATTAGGAAATAGACCGAAAAACTTAAACTTCTTGCCCAGAGCTCTCTAAAGGCAGAGTAGGACTTAGCTATCATCTAAACCTAAATCCTATGCTCCTTCCGCACCATCAAAATACCGGAGAATAAATGTGTAACATTAATTTGGCAAATCTGTAGCAACCATTTTATTGATGTCTGAAAGCCTCCATAATAGAAACACTGCACCTCTCCCAGGAATTCACTTACTGGGGTCCAAGAACCATGTCGCCACTGAGCCATCTCTCCCATGGGAACAGCTGGTGATGAAGTGGCCTGGATTTCAGGGGTAACTGGGCATGGTGTGACCATGCAGTCCTGGTCAAAAGAAACATGGATCTCATAAAGCATCTGTAATTAATTAATCCACATTAAATCCTATACTTCTTTTCTTCTTCTACCTAATTCAAGAGCAGTTGCATAATAAACTACAAATTGATGATGTAAAGATATTTTTTTTTTCAAAAGTACCAAGTCCTATCGATGGCTACAAGTGAACAGTATGAATCTGAACCCCAAAGTCTGGATCATTCTGTCTGATGGTTGAAAATGAAGAAGACACAGTCCTTCCAAAATCCCAAGAACTGACACATTCTGAATGAACACAGACAGTACAGGACGCTTTAGACGTTCATGACATTCACAACAGGCGTCTTCCGCCACAGTTCAAAGGATGGAAATATCCAAGTCAAATGAGTGATTTGATGGCAAATAAAGAGTAAAAAAAATTCATTAATAAAGCTATTAAGCCAACAACATCAACAATAAATTCAAGCATGCACATATTTTTAAGGCATTTATGTTTAAAAGGAAAAAACACATATGGAAATAGCTTTAACACATCAGTAATCCTCCTCATATCATGAACCTTTTTGCTCACAATCCCATGAAGAAAACCCCTTTACCTGCCCATCAGGTGGGCGACTACTGCTGGGGCACACGCCACCGTCTAGCTCCGTGCTGAGCGGCTCGGCGACACATCTGACAGCACGTGTCTGGCGCCCATGTCCACATGTAGCTGAGCACTGAAAAGATACAAGCAGGCATCAAATGCATCACTCAAAAATTACATTAACTTAATTTTCTTAATGAATATGGTTAATATACTTTCAGTAGATTTTATTAGTCCTTTACACCAGAATCCACGTAAAATTAGCCCATTTAATCTATATGCATATTTATTCACATTTACTGAATTTAAATGGATTATTATTATAGCCTTTAAAAGTTATTATGTGAAAACACCAATAGTGGGGTCATATTTTAGAGGCAGAATCAATACAGTTTAGGGAAATTAATACTTTTCCAAATATACCTGGTCTGTGTATGTCATTTAATATACTAAGTAAATTTCAGAGATGCAGACAAGCATACAGTGAAGTTGAAGGGAAGATGAGAAAAGGATCCCCATCAACTGTGGCGCCTCCACGGGACGACAGGCTGCCCGCCCGCGTCCAGACTGACCTCTACTCATCCTACAGATGCTGGGCTGCCTGTTAGGCAGAACTTCTGAGCAATGAGCACTCTAAACACATGGAAGATAATTCAGACACAGAAGATGAAAAAAACTTATTATTTAAACAAACTTGATGAAGGCATACAATTACAGCATTTTGGTTAGCAAAAGTGAATTCAAACGCAAAGCTGAAATATTTACCAGAGCAAAACTAACAGTACTGACAAATACACATTTCAGGGGTATTTTTCCAAGGAACCAACTCAGATGTCTCTGCATCCATTACAAGAGTGAACATTCCACAACTTCTGTGCTACTCTCTAACAATGGAGGAAGTCAGAAGAACCCTTATCATATACTCACGGAACCCCACGCTCCTACTTGCCAGGACGCACATGTATGAAGCTCGCATGGCTTCAGAGATTCGGGTTTGGTGCTCGGGTTGCAGAAGCCATCGTTCAAGGGGCCTTTGTGCAGCTGACACCACACCTGCCGCCATGCTGTTCCTTTCCCACAGGTAACGAGACACTGTAAGGACACAACTGATCATCACTTCTAGTATCAGTCACCACAAATTCCTTACAAAATGACGCAACGATCAGCTTGCATATTGAAATGCAGTTTGAAAGGCCATTCCAGGACATTTCCCTTCACTCCCCCAGGGACATTCACTGGGTAAAACCAGTCACCCCAAACTTACTGCCCGACTCCCAGGGCAACACCCGTTTGTCCTAGAAACAAAGACACAAACTGACCGTGACATCCGTTTGTGCCTCGGGCGCCTGCGGACACTGGGGCTTTCTGGTGAAAATGGTCACAGACTGAACACAAGTTAAAGTGGTTGCTGGCCAGGCTATAAACTGAACTGTCAGTAGTTTAAGAACTAACCAGGTATTACTTTTTTTATTGTCTTGGTAATAAAGTTATTTATAAGATGACAAAATAAATTTAAGTATTTTCGATTTACAAAAATCTTTAGAGGGCAATGCTTTCCTAAGCGTATTGTAGCAGTTCTAAGCCTCACGTGTTTAATGTTACCTCACTCCACTCACTCGTAGCCCAGATGGGACAGGAAACCTCATTGCAAATCTCTCTCATCACCCGGGGGAGTTCTTGGCATTCGCGGTCAGCAAGATGGCGGCCCAAGCCATTTACACAGAAAGATTCTCGAGACCGTTCCCCTCCTCCACAACTCCTGGAACACTGATGAAAAAACAAAAACAGCACATACAGTGGTGACAAATGGGGAAAAAAAATTAAAACTTCAACAAACACATATCTTAGGGTAACATAAATAATTAGCAAAAAAGGGGGGGCATCCTTCCACCACCCTTTTTATTATACCTGGGACCATTGTGAGTAATGCCACCTTGCTGTCACGCAGTCACCATGACAGGGTTCCCGGGTGGGAGGTTTGAGCTGGTCGCTGCAGTGGCGGGCACCTACTGGAACTGTCTGTCCCTTGTGAACGGAGTACCTCATGCAGTGGACATCCAAGGACCTGTGTCCTTGGCCACAGCGGGACGAACATTCACTCCTGCTGACGACATGCCACCTAGAGAAAAGGATGCTGCCACGTTAGGAGGTGTGCCGATTAGAACAATTTAAAAATGGATCCAGAGAAACTCATGCACATAATTCCATGTTTAAAATTCTGTTCGAGTTGATGGACAAGTCACCTAAGAATATCTGATATGTTACTGAATTAGAAATGAAAAGTTCTTAGACATCATGGGGCCCAAACTTTCACTTTATAGATAAGAAAATGAGGACCAAAGATTCAGATTGGTGTGTTCAAATGGTATAAACACTTGACTTTGGCTAAAAACCTTACTTTTTTTCCAAATGAAATCTAACGTGCTCTCCCAATATATAAACACAGAGCTGCTCTGATTGATGACTTTACTCTGCTACTCAGTGGATATATGTGCAAAGGAGCCCCAAGTTTCTTTAAAAAAATCCTTGAAAATAGCTGGCTTAGATCAAGAGCACAACTACATAGTGGCAGATTTAAGACTATAATACTAAATTTAACTTGTGATCAGGCAGTGTGTCTCCCTGTGCAATACCTGCATAGCATTTTATGATCAGGGAACACCTGGGAATCTGACTACATCAATAGAGACAAAGCCTTTAAAAGTTGGTAAATTAGGGTTTCATAAAGCATATCATATTTTCTCATTAGTTTGCTAATCAATTTTTAACCATGTTTTCACAGGACACATTTTTTTCCACAAAATCTGCTAGTTTTAGCCAGATTATCCCATAGCCTAGTGACCTATGCAGACAGCATGAGTGCGCAGCTCACGCCCATCTCCAGCAGCACCGCAAGGACGCCGCTGCGCTCCGCTCCTGTGCAGTGCCCTCCGCGCAGCTCCTACAGGCAGGTCTGCCGCCAGCTTTCACTGCGTGGCTCCCAACACCACAAACAGATACAAATTCTCATCCTTGCCAAAAAGGGGCCCTAGCCACCCCCTGAATGTTAACTGTCACCTGCTAGATGGGTTACTGTTTTTAGCTTTGCCCTAAGATGAATCACAAAAAACAAATGACATGAAGTTCATAAGTACAAGGATCATGTTTCCTAATGCTTAATGCACAGAATACTGATAACATAGAGAAATGAATCTATTGATTCTCTAATCCTGAAACTTTAAGTTTATTGGTTCATGAGTTCAATGGGGATTACAAATGCTACACAATGTTTCAGATCTTTAAACTATGGGTTTTCAGATCACAGTTTACTTTTCATTTTACAGACAAATCTGTTTCTATTTCCTACATAAAATATCAAGGGCTGAATACTGCTATTCAGAAAATAATATGAATAAAAGTTCAAACAAATTGCCAAGTTCCACAATTAATCAGTAAACCTAAAATGCTATAATGGCAGGACAAAGGACAGACTTGCCACACTTCCGCTGTGTGCCAGGAGCTACACTTGGATGCCACACACCTTATCACACCTACTGATTTCAGTCCTGCCGCTTTATACAGAGTTCACATCATACATTCTTTGTCTCTCACCTTAGTTCACAGTCCGTGTTGCACCTTTCAGTCACAAGCAGTGGAAGTGGTAAGTGGTCACATCTTTGATCGGACACTATCATATGATCACTCTTACGTACGCAGGTAATTCTCCTTCTGTGAAGACCTTAGCCAGAGGTAAATGAAAAAAATGAAAAGTAAAAATACAAGGAGAACTTACGTAAGTAGATGTTCCATAATTCTTTAATTCTGCTAATGGCCTTGAGGACTCAGCCCAAACAGCATGAAGAACCCCACAGGCTAGCACAGGCCTGTTTCCTAGCCAGGAAAGCCTTCCTGCAGGGAGCCAGCTGGATCCTGACGGCTGAGGAGCCCATTCAGCAGAGACTCAAGGAAGCGGGGACAGGTGCGGAGGGGAAAAGAACTCTGTATTCACCGGCTGGAGCGGCTGCTGGTGGAGAACGGAGCGGCAGCGTGGCACTGATGCTATAAGGTGTGCCATCTCTTTGTTCCCACTGTTCGGTCCCCTTTTCCTTGCAGGAGAATTGCATGGCTCCGGGGCTACCGTCTACCATTTCCTGCCTTTCCTGAAGTCTGTTCACTGTGACCCCGTGTGCGAGGAGTGAGCTCCCTGCCAGGACGTGAGGCTTGGGCCAGCCGACTGTAAGAGGGTGTGGCCAATCCCAGTTCTAAGCAGAAGCCCTAAAACCCACCGCATGCCTCTGCCAGCTCGCTCTCCCCGTTCCCTCTGTCTCTACAACAGCCTTCCCCAGAGGCAGCTGATCTTCCAGCCCAAAATCATGAATGAAAAAGGCACAGATGGACATTAAAAAGATCAGTGGTTTCCACAGATCTGAGGGTGGATAAGTGGAGGGCAGTGAAAGTATTCGGTATAATTCTATAACAGTGGATACATGTCATTATACATTTGTTAAAACCCACAGAATGAACAACACATTAGGGAACCCTAAATTATGGACTTAAGTTAACAATAACAATAATGCATCAGTTGTTAACAAGTGTGCAATACAAGGTGTTAATAACAGGGGATCTGGGGTGGGCCAGAAGACGACTTCGGACATTTTATGTATCTTCTCTTCAATTTTTCCATAAACCTAGGACTGCTCTAAAAATAAAGTCATGAACTCTTTTAAAAAATGACATGGACACAGATACAAGCTGAACAAGAGCCATACCCAATTAGCAGCTAAACCTTTGCTGTTCCAAGCCTGGAGATCTGGTGGCTATCTGAGACATGACCACAGCAAAGCAAACTAAGACGTGGCCCTAATGGGCTAAACAGACTGAACTCCACACTTTCTGCAGTGAGGAGACAGCAAAGAGTTTAAGCCGTGGCATGATCAGACTTCTATTTTATCAAAGTTCAGCTGCGTACTTCTCGTTAGGTAAACATGAACATACACGTTTATCTGTGTTCCTCCTTCAATATCATCTGAAGCGACCATAAGGAATTTTGAAAAGGCAAAAGCCTGAAAGAATTTGGAAAGGAAGCCCATTAGCAAAAAAAGGAGATTTTCAATATGCTAAGTAGATGGAAATAACTATTTAACAGAGATGAGGCTGTTAACTATGAAAAACAAAGACCGTAGAAAGAAAAGTAGGAAGAGAAAAAAAGGGGGACCCTTTGCATGTCTGTGCTGATGTGTCTGTGGAAGGCTAAGGGATTCACAGCGTCCCGGACTGAAAAATCCCCCAAATTATACCAGCACGCACGAACTTCCACCTGTCACTCGACATCAGTGTACCTTGACACATTTTGGTACAATCTTGCCATGGCCCATACGGATCCCACGTGAACAGGTCGCTCCCCTCTTCCATAGGGATATTGAAGGAATAACGCACATCAGGGTTGTATAAATTACCCACACACAGTACCTCGATAAAAATACAGAGGAGCATTCAGTCAGTTAATAGAAGACATCTTCTTAAAAGACCTCATTTTATATTTAAATGCAAAAAACTCAGCCATCTGTTTACAAATATGATTAAAACCCGATCTTACTAACGACGGAGCATTTACCTGCAAGACAAGTTCTTCCTCCAGCCGATCAGTACTGTTAATTCTTTCAATTGAGTTGTTTGAACCACTGTATTCAAAAATAGCTCCCTGTATGTTGATTTCTTTTTTTGACATACTGACCACAAAATTCCCATTCAAAAGGAAATTCCCTCGAGTGTCAGATAATGCTGTAAAACAATAGGACTCATGAAAGAGGAAAAACAGTCAGCAGTACAGCAAATATATTTTAACTTTTAAAACTGACCCTTTTTTGAAATTAAAGAAGTGTAAATTACTATTAAGGAAATAAACTTTATTTTACTGTAATGTGGTAGCTAACCCATAGGTAAGGAGCTTGAGCCCTTCAGCCAAAGACATTAATATCAACTCACCCTGTACTTTTCTACCTAAGTTGGTCACCTTCCAGAGCACGCAGCTCCCGGGGGAACACACGGGAAGAGGGCGAGGAGGCCGACCAGCTGCATGGACCCCGGCCCTGACGGCAGGGAAGGGGAGACCAGCAGGTGGCTGCAACGTCCCATTCACGCTTCTCCCGGACAGCAGTGCAGGGAGCCTCAGACTCTAGGGCCAATGTCCTAAAGGGCCAAACAAGGACTATCCTGTTCTGCGCGTAAGTGCCAGTCTGTTCCTCGAGAGGCGCTCTCTCACCGTGAGTGGCCATGTGATGAGCGTCTCCCAACACCCCGCTCCCCTCTCCGTTCACACTCCCTCTCGTCCCTCCCTTCCCACTGATGTGTGTTAATAAAGGCCTGCCCAATAGGAGTGTTTCTTTACTTCATATACTATGTATTTACATATGCTTAAAATAATACACTATACAATTCTAAGTTGTTACTTTTTTAGATGCAGAAATTGAACAGTGTCCACAAGAATATGGTAGTGAAAAGAACCAAATTTGGTGTTTTGGCTTCCGGACTGACGATTGTAACTGTCTTTATATATTCTGCTGAATTCAGTGAAAAACCAATGAAATTCTACATAAAGTGGAAATTCCTCGTAAGAATCTTGGTGTTATCAAAAGTTGATAGGCCTATTTAAGGGATTACTGGTTACTGCAGGATTACTGGTTACATTAAAACTAAGGGAAATAAATAAAACTTAACTGAAAAAGTCATACACACTTCACTACTTTTTGTTACCAAAGCAAATTTCACAAATATAAGTGTTTACAAATCCCTTCTAATGACTTCACGTTTATTTTGCACACTTCAACTTAGATTTTGGTATTTCCATTAGTAATTCTCTTGCAAGTATATTGATATTTTCTTAGTGAACACCTCTAATTTTTAAACTGGGGCAGAACCTGTCATCCATTCCTAGGAAGATAACAAATATCTATGTTTGGCACCTATGACATACTAAATTATTTATCTTCAATATTGTAGCATATATCTCTATATATGCACTTAGATAAGATTCTTGGTAAAAGAAAAAGAATTGCAGCTAAATGTAAAAGGAAAATAAATCTAAATATCTATTTGATTGTCTTTGGAAAACAAGGGATGTTTTTTGCATTTTTTTTAGAGGTGAAACTGACATACCATACAATCCCTCATTTTAAATGAGTAATTCCATGGCATTTCATACAATCACAACGTTCTGAAGCCACCACCTCTATCTGGTTCTAAAACTTTTTTGTCACCTCAAAAGGAAGACCTGTACCCATTAAGCAGCTGTTCCTTTGCATTTGCCTTGATGAGACCAAGTGATTCCTGAGACAAGCAGCTCATCACAGCCGCAGGTCCCCTTCGTAAGCTGATTACCGGCCAGCCTTTCACACCACATCAGCTTCACTGAAGCAGGTACTTTCTCAGTATCAGCTCTACACAACCACCTATTCTGGTTGCAGACCTATAGATACATCATTATTAAGGTATTTCTCAGAAGGGAGAGGTTTCTAATGCTTTCTCTTCATCTTTGGGCCTAAGTGAAGTTTGTTTAAGCCAAAAGGTAGTTTTCTAAAAATTAATTTAAAAAATGAAGCCTATACTCTAGAAATAACTAATACACCATGACTATATTCATTAACATTGAAAAATATAAAATCATAGTTCTGTCTTGCTTTAACAAAAGTTTTTTTAAATAAAATAATTTCACTATCTAGTAAAATACATGAGAAACATTTTTTAAGTATTTAACTGCAAAGAGGTCTATAACTAATTTTAGATAAAAAGATAGTAGATTGTATCCTAAATACACATAAAACTTTAACTGGATATAGCCTTTAGTTATCCAAAATACTACGGGAATGAAGTCTACACTTCCAGATTGAGTTCAGTACCTTTTTACCTAGAACACAGTGTGTGGCTCAAGAAGAAAACATGTACAGGGAGTCACGCGACTTGAGCTCAGTATGAACTGAAATTGTGTGTTTGTTCAAGGGGCTCTTCTTGCCTTGCAAGAATTTACATCAACCCCAGACTCCAGAACTTGTGCACAAACCATATACGGGCTGTTGTTCACTAGAAATGTTTACCAAGGTAATTGTCATCTTCTGCTTTTCCAGAGTAGCTGTGTTGAACAATATCAACGCTTGTCGCTCCTGTGGGGATCTTTACAACAACATTGTAACCTGCAATACAATTTTATGCATGTTAAGTTTCACAAAAAGCAAAGGGCCCAGAGGCTATTACTGCTGAATGATCAAAAAATCTGAATAGCACAGACTTAATTTCATTTTACGTTTGAGAAATGATATGGTGCTTATTCTTTTTGAATCAAAGCCTTATGCAAATTACCCAGTTTGAGAAAAAAACGGTTGTTGTCTAGGAATATACAGTTTGGGTTTCTTGAAGACATTTCTTAATTTTTCTTGCTTCTAAAATTCTGCACATAGAATGAGAATGAAGCTAGTATTTTAGCTCCTGTGGTATTTAATAAGCATACTCATTTTTATATTTGACTAATACTTGTATGCTTTACATGTATACTTTACACTTTCTAATGGGAAAAAATACAGGATTCTAAATGCTATTCACAAATCCAGGAGATTTCAAAATAGTTGGGTATTGCTATATATGTACACAAGAATCTCACCAAAATAATGAAAGTTAATGAGAAACATTTTTCTTAAGTTTTAGTCTCAAGGGTAAGCAAAACTCCTTTACAGCTACCCCCAAAATTTCACATTATTTTTTGAAGTCTACCAGCAATCTGTCACGAGAAGAGTAAAACAATTAAGAGAAACAAAAACAATTTCTATTTTATGAGACCAGATTCAGAAACACTGGCTCTTCTCAGAAGATGAGGAAATACTATCTCAAACACACAATAAACAAGAAAGACAGTTTTCCCTACACTAAAAGTACTCATGTTGCACAGTCGTGCAAATCTCCCAGGCTCCCAATCAGTACTTTCTCTGGCAATATTATCCTAAGTCTTTCCTTTTCCTCATTAGGATTTTGTCCTTCTCTTTGATGCATAAGCAAAAGGAGTCATGACTTTTCTTGTGTGCTAACTGTGATACATACAGAAAGAAATTAAGTTTTCAAGGAAATTAAGTTTACAGCCTTGATATGAGACTACCGTGCGTGTTTTCAGAGCAGCCTTATTTATGACTCTTTAAAGCACTGCATTTTAAATAAAAGGTGATAAGTGGTCTGATTCTGTATATACTATATGCATATTGGCTATAAGTAATAAGTCTACAGAATAATTTTAATTCATGTTTTCACTATAAAATATTCCTCTTACCCTCAGTATTTATGTCTCTGCTACTTTTTTTTTTTCAAGAAAGCATCACAAAAGTGACGAGGTAAAGGTTACTAGGGGGGCAGAAATGCAACAAATGTTATTTAGACCATGCAAATGTGTTTAACATCTTTTTCCATTTGTGAACTGATTACTACGATTTGGGCAAGGTTAGGTATTTTTTCCTAATTTGGTACATGTGGTTTTATATAAAAAAAAAACGTTTCAGGGAATACAGACCAGGCTTCGACGACTGTGTTGGCCGAGAAAGGGAACCAAGTGTGTGCGGTGAGATGTACCACACCAACCGAGCTTCATGAGCATCGGCAGAGTGTGAATGTACTAGACTTTTCATACGGACAAAAACATAAATGTTGTGGTTTAAATTATAATGCTTTAATTGAAACAACTCTTACTAAATCATGTTTGAGCCCATGTGAACACACTTTAAAGCCAAACAACAAAACTGTATAAAGCACATTGTTATTTTGCAAGGCAAGTTTTCAATTCAAGGGCAACTTTACCATAAAAAGAAAACAGGTTTCCCAGAAATTTTTAGAACATAAAAAAATATGATATATTCTCATAATTTTGAAGAAAAATGAAGTCATGGTCAAAAGGGATCATATGTATAATCCAGATACTTCCTGGAAAATCAAATATAATGATAATTCCCAAGCAACACTTAAGTTAATGGTTTCATTCTTCACTTTCTACCATTTTCAATATACCATCGTTAAGAAACCTAAGAGGTCAGGTCATATTTAAAAAAAATGAGTCAAATGATGAAAAGTAATGGAAAGCAAGTTTCCTGGAAACTTGTAGATATAGACATTTCAGTTTTCAGGAACAGAAGTAAAAATACCTAACTTGGCAGACTGTTGTCAAATAGCATTGGATTTATTCTAATAAATGCGGTTAATTTTTAAGTTAGATTTGTCTTAAGCAGATAAAATCATTAGTTCAAATATATACCTGGGATATGATTTAATGTTTCGTATTTAGGAAATTTTTCTTTAACAATCATCACGAACTAAGGGTACAGAGTGGATAAAACAGTAACCATTACTATGATACCTTCATCAGAGCAAATAAAAGGGAAATCTAGAAACAAACACACCTACCATAACGAGCACTGGTGAAGACCCCGGCCGTTGTCCTGCAGGAGGAGCTGTCCCCACCGCACACTCCACACTTGTCTCTCCTGGCCTTGGAGTTCAACACGTGATCACAGCCAGCTTGCTTCAGATTAAATCATTACAACAATGTTACACACGTACTGATTTATAGGCACGGTGCTTTACAAAGTTCTTTTCACAAATACTCTTCAAATTAACAGGAGGCTCAATACAACAGGATTTTTTCAGAATATCTACTGATCTTGTTGTCCATCAGTATTTTCATATACCTGTTACCATGGTTGCAAAAATAGTGTTTTTCAAAAGGTCACCCACCTAAGTCCTGCAGCAATGGGATGGCATTTAAAATAGCAGAGTCCCAGATTTCCCGAATTAAAACCCTTGGAAGTACAACCTAGGAATATGCATTGTAACAAATACTGACAGATTCCTATTTCCATTATCAGTTGAAAGCCACTCTTTAAAGACATGTAATTCAAAGACACAAAAAGTACGATTATATAATTAATGTTAAAATAATTCCAATAAGATGTCTTTCATTATTTTTTTAAATTTTTCTATTGAAGTAGAGTTGATACACAATATTACATTGGTTTCAAGTATACAACACAGTGGATCAATAGTTACATTCATTATTAAATCCTCACCCCGCCTAGAGCAGTTACTATCCGTCAACCTAGGAAGATGTTTCAGAACCACTGGCTGTATTCTCCACGCTGCACTTCCAACCCCGTGGCCTTTTATTATGATTGAGAATTTTTGTGTCCTTTTATCCCCCTCACCCACCCATCCCAAACCCACCCCCATGGTAACCACCAGACAGTTTTGAGTCTACTGCTATTTTGTTCATTTTGATTTGTTTTGTTTTTAGATTCCACATGTAAGTGAAATCATATGGTATTTGTCTTTCTCCACCTGTTTTATTTCACTGAGCATAATATACTCCAGGTCCATCCATGTTGTTGCAAATGTCAGGATTGCTTTCTTTTTTATGTCTAAATATTCCATTGTGCATATGTACCACATCTTCTTTATCCACTCATCTACCGATGGACACTTTGGTTGCTTCCACATCTTGGATATTGTAAATAATGTGGCAATAAACATAGTGGTGCATTATGTCTTTTTGAATCAGAGATTTTGCTTTCCTCAGGTAAATTCGTAGAAGTGGAATTACTGGGTTGTATGGTATTTCCATTGTTAGTTTGACATTAGAATGCTGGGAACAAACTGAGAAAATTTGAAAGAAACAACTTATTTCTTCAAAATTAATAACCAGCATTCTTTGTGTTGTTTATGAAAAGGAATGAATGATTAAATTAAGACTAAAGTGAATGCCTTGTTCAGGGGGCTTTAAAGCATGCGCGCTGCCCGTCTCCGGGAGATGCTGTTCTCTGCACACACCTCGGAAACTCAGGTTTGGGAGCCTCCTTCAGGCGCAGGACAATTTCATCACCCTCAGATTCTTTCATACACAAGGTAAGTATTTAGAAAATGAAAATTTTTTCAGCCATATATTTTTCTGAAAGTAATATCCATCTCTGTGTTTAGATAATTATAATATTTTTTGCACTGTATATGGCTTTCTGCTCAATTTAGATAAAACAAGCTTTTAAGGCCACTGAATGCCCTCTTTCTACTATTTAAGGTATTTACAACATGTAAATTATTTTAAGTTTCTTTGAACATCTCAGTAGCCCTTTAGTGTCAGGCATTTTATTAACAAGATAACTGGTAATAGATGTTTGGTTATAGAGAGAATTGGTTCTATTAAATTCTACCAAAGGAATGAGTTTATAAGATTACTTTTATATTCTTTCAATAGTGTTCACTACTCTAGTTCTCAAACTCACCATTTGTTTTTAAGACCATCATCTGCAATGTGTGCTGGAATTCAAGGTTCACCTGCTCCCACCTAGAATTCTGTTGAATGGCTCACCTAACTCCAGGCTCCTCCTAACCCAATGTATGCTGAAGATTCTAACATGCAAATCAAATCACATCTCTGGCTCAACTCCAAATACCTCCAAGGATCTCCAAGGATTTCAGAAAAAAGTGCACCTTAATAACCATCAGCCAATCCCTGCCTCTGACGCTGGTCCCTTATTTCCTCATTGTTCTAAAACCTGTTTATCTTCAATAATTAGCTAAAGGCTCACATCTTCCATGAGCACTCTCTAAATCTTCTATCTACCTCCCCATAAAACAAGACACCCTTTCTCAGTACCTCCATGCCACCCTGCAGATGACCCTGTCCTGGTTGTTCACGTGCCCCATCTTCCCCCCGGACCTGTGACCACATCGGAGTCGAGGGCTCTGCCCCGTTGTTCCACCATGAAGAGCATCCGACATCCAACAGGTTCTTGGTCGATGCTTGTTGAACGTACCCGAGAAGTAAGGGGCAGGGATGAAACAAGGGAGGGGGCATCATCGCTTCTAACACGGAAGGAGAAAACGACCCACAGGAGGTCCCATTTTAACTAGCAAGTGGTGAGTTTGAGAACTAGAGTAGTGAACACTGTCTAAAGAATATAAAAGTAATCTTATAAACTCATTCCTTTGGTAGAATGTAATAGAACCAACTCTCTCTATAACCAAACATCTATTACCAGTTACCTTGGTAATGAAATGCCTGACCCTTGTGCCCTAGAATTTCTATCTTCTTGGGAAGCTGACCTGACACGCCTCCTGGTTTGGGTACCACAGGCAGAATGAAACCAGAAGGCTCATCTCAGGGCCTCGGGAGTCAGTCGCGGTGGCAGACCTGCCAAATCACAGAACCCCCAACCAGTCCTGCCGACGGCATGGCACCACCCAGGAAAACACCAAAGGCTGGCACACTGGAATTCACAAGAACGCACTCTGCAGCAACGGAAGTGCTATCTGGTCACAGACACAGCAGAAGAACATTATTCTGAAAGCCACTGTTGGGTCAGTTCACGTACCCGGCACAGGCCTTGAACGCAGACGTCATTAGTCTCAGCCCCACAAGGGGTGCCGTCGGCAACCCTGTCCTTCAGCTGGTAGAAGTCAGTGGTTCCCGCAGCCCGGCAGTACAGCTTACAGCGATCTTTCATGGCAACTGGGAACAAAGTTAAATCGTGGTGTACAATTACACATCTGCACGTTCCTACGTCTCAAGAAATTCTCACATGAGAAAGATACGTAATTACTTACTCCCACTGTACTTGGGAAGCCACCGCACGCTGGGGGAAAGACCATCGATGTTGAAATGTCTGCCATCGAAACCAGAGCACTGCTGCCCCCGGAAGTCCTGCCCGCCTTCTGGGCAGGGGCCCGTGTTACACGAGCGGAACTTCACCCTGCGGCCCACGCAGAACCTTCCTCCATTCCGGGGCCTGTCAAAGTCACTGCATTTTAAAGCACTTCAGTACATTATCTCTGCCATTTACTTCTAAAACTCTTCCATTCTTTTCCAGAATCTGGGAAACCACTTAGTCTCACCAATAGATTTTGTTTTTAACAGAAGTATGTGACGTGATTTATAAGCAATTTTATGGCTAATAAACTGCAAAAATATCCACCTTAGGGTGGACACTGTGGCCTGGAGGGCAGAAATGATCTTATTCATGACTTAACTAACAAGGAACTAAGGATGGGAATTTGGTTTAAAACTTCAAAACAGGTTTTTTTCATACTTTCTGGAGAAAAAGAGAGCCACAGATGATAATAAAGGAAGATAATACCATGTTAAATAAAAAATAAATATATATTTCTATCTTTGTCACAAATATACTAATCACCCATTTCAAAGAGTTTCATGGTATTACCTATATACATTCATCCCTTTATTTCTACTTATGTTGGAAAATAAAAACTCTGTCAGCATTTTTAAAATATGAGTTTTAGCATAATTTATTCTAAAATACAAATGAACTAGGTCAGATTTTATTCAGATTATGTTACATTTCTCCATTAAAAATTCTTGTTAAGAGACTTTAAGTGAAGAGTGTCATACTGCTTACCACTTTATATATCATATAGCAACAGAAATATTACTTAGAAATCTTTATGGAATCTATAAAGTCTTTAAATAGTTTGATGAGGGGGAGATATGCCTCAGTACTTATTCGAACTAAAGAACTAAAAAAAGTGATGCATCTATAACATGAGAAGCAGAGAAAGAGAATATGACATGTCAAATTAGACAGAACAGTTAAAGAAAACTGGAAATGAAAATACATATTTTATCCAGGAGAGACAAAACACAGTTGAAAGGAACCAGGACCTTTCAATGGGAAACACAGTAAATGTAAAAAATGCCATGATATTATGTGATTTTTTTACAACTATTTCACATTTACACTAAATCAGAAAAGAAAAGAAAAAATGGCTCTGTCTTAATTCAGATTCTAAATTTTGGTTTAAAGATCTGAGTCAACCAAGATATAAAATAATATGGCTTAAAGTATTCCAGAAGTTTTCGGAGTCTCAGAAATTAAAGACTGACCTCCAGTTTAGAAGGGAGTGAAACTGGAGTTAACTTTCTGGTGCCTTGAGATAATCTTAATTTATAGGGACATAAAAAAGACATACTCGGGGTGATCACAGAGCCGGGCTGCATGTTTGATGCCACCTCCACATGTTCGGGAGCAAGAGCTGTAAGGCCCCCACGGTCCCCATTCACCATCCACAGGACGTGATTCCATTTCTCTGTTTACACACAGCCCATGGTGGCAATGCTAAAAAAAATAATAACAAGCACAAAAAGAAGTGATTCACATATGCCTAGCTAGAACATGACAGTCATTATGAACATCAAGATCGATAAAAGAAGAAAATATATGCAAGTTAAAGCAAAATACGGTCAATTCAAAAACACAATTACATTTGGCCCACTTTAAGAATATTTTTTGAGTATCTATTGCACAACTGTAAGAAAATCTATGGAGTGCAAAGAGAACAGGAGATAGTCCTTGCCACTGAGGCTCAGAGTTGCACTGGGAGAGAGAAGATCTATAGGTGTAAGGAAAACTTAGAGGGTAAGATGAGAATATTTCTTACAAAGAAGCAAACAAATACTAGCTTAATTCAATGTATATTCATGCTTCTGTTTTTATGCAAAAAGATCACTTTGCCACTTTTCTGCTTTTTACTCCATCTCATCTAAAGGTGCACAGATCACTTTACTTTCATCAAGAAAATGGAAACTTACGGAAGAATCTGCCCACCACCTCCCACCACACCTTCTACCCCCTAACAGCATCTGTGCCCAGTACTCAGCTTTCCTATTAATACACATGAAGAATCCATGCTCCTGGCCAAAGACAATCCTTCCGCCTGTGTGCCTGACCTCATCCCTTCTCACTACTCAACATCACTTGGGCGTCCGCCCATCTCTCCTGCCGTCACCTGTCTGGCCTCCACTACGTGGAAGCTGAGCAGATGCGGCACCTGCACTGATGCTCAACTGCGACCCGGCTGCTGTCAGTCTGTGAGGGGAAGAGTGCAGACATCGAGGGGCAGCATTTAGAAACTTGTCTACGATTCTGACCGAGTAATTTTATGTTTATTAAAGTAAATTTTAAAATTGGCTTATAGTTTCCTTTAATTGTGGTAAAATACAACATAAAATGTTCCATCTTAGCCCTTTTCCGGCACACAGTTCAGTAGCACCAAACCACGTTCATGCTGTGTGTGGCCACCACCACCCTCTCTCCACCCTGAGACCCACACCCTATGAACAGTAACACCTATCGCCCCTCCCCAGCCCTGCAACCACCATTCTTTCTGTCTCTATATTTCACTGCTCAACATGACTCAGATAATTGAAATTACATTATTTTCCTCTTCTGACTTTTATTTCACTCAGCATAACGTCTTCAAGGTTCATCTATGTTGTCGCATGCATCAGGATTTCCTTCCTTTCAGGGCTGAATATCCCGCTGTGTGGACACACCACATTCTGCTTTCTCAGTCACCCCCTGATGGACACTTGGGTTACTTCCACTTCTTGGCTATTGTGAATAATGCTGACTCGGAGTCAGATATCTCTTTAGGACGTTGCTTTCGCTTCATTTGGATATATACTCAGAAGTGGTGTTGCTGGGTCATATAATTCTATTTTTAAGTTTGAGGAACTGCCATATTTTCTTCTGTAGAAAAACTTGGCTTATATTTTGAAAACTTTTTTCATTCCATTTTCCTAGTCATTTTTATTCATTTTGTGGAAAAGTATCAGTTTATAAATGACCAGAAATTTTTAAAAATTTAAATACCTTTACGTCAGAGAGTTTGAGAATCCCTATCATCAGGGAATTTCCTGTGAAATCTGCCTTGACCATGTTTTCAATCGCCGTCTGCCCTTTTCCCGCCTATTGTACTTCTTCATGGCGTGTGCCAAACTCATGGCACTATGACATGGATTTTACTTTCCTAGTCTTCCCCTAGAATGAAAGTTCCATGACGGCGAGGATCTTCTTCTGCTCACTGATGCGGCCCAAGGACCCGGTCCAGTGCCTGACACATGGTAAGCCCTGGACGACTCTTTGTTGAATGAATGAATCCTATAACCAGGCTCAGTAGTGGGCAAAGTGCTTTGTGCCCTCCATCAGAACATGAGAAAGACACATTAGAAGTGAACAAAAACTAAATCTCAGACTAGAATGTACGATGTGTATGCAAATTTTGCAGACATCTTCCAGAAACATCTCAAATAATCCTTCATGTTTTCTTTTTCTGAGAGATCAGAGCATGAAACCAATAGTATGTCATACTGCTCATCAAGTAGTAGAATTATCTCATTGTCAGATGACTTAGCAGGTCTTCATGCAAATGGATTTACTACCAAAAGCATTTAACAGATAGTCGTACATTTAAGCAAGTTGAAAGATAAAGGTACTAAGGAGATTGTGAAGGCAAAATTACAGGACATTTGTTTGAAATTTCCCTTGGATGAAAGGCCTATTTAATTCTGAATAGGGCTATTGCAGGGGGGCTCACTGTGTCCAATTAATAAAATATTTATATCATGTTACCTCTGCTTATAATCTACCCAGGCTTTAAAGTAGGTTGTGGTATCTCATCACATTTACCTTTAATTCCAAAACATCCACGCCCTTCATACCAGCTCATTAGAGAAATAACCCACTGGCAGATAAGCACACGAGTCCCATTAATGCAAATTGAAACCACAGGGAGTTCATTGCACACCTACTAGAATGCCTAAAATTTTGTTAGAAGATTAACTATCAAACACTGTTAGGAAGGCAAAGCAACCAGAGCTTTCACACATTGCTGTGGGGAGCGCAACAAATGCTACACATATTTTAGAAAACTGGCAACTTCATGTTAAACATTCACCTACCTATGACCCACCAATTCTACTCTAGGTATTTATGCAAGAGAAATGCAGACATGCAGGATGACTTGTAAAACGATGCTCATAGCAGCCCACTTGTAAAAACCCCAAACTGAAACTGACCTAAATGTCCATCAACAGGAGAATGGATAAACAAATTACAGTGTATTTGTGCAGCTGAATAACACTGCACCATATTCATAAGGAATGAAATACTGAGGCGCACACTACAGATGAGGCCCCAGACATTGTGCTGAATAAAGGAAACCCGGCCCACTCCCAACCCCTGCAGGAAGAGTATGCTATAGACTTCTGTTTACATTAAAGTCAAGAACAGAACAATCTCGGGAGATAGAAAAAAGGAGTTGTCTCTGCAAAGGGAAATTGCCTCCAAGGAGATAAGACCGAACTTCTTGGAGTGATGGCAAAGTTCTAATCTTGATTGGGACATTGGCTATGTGTGTGTCTACATTTTTAAAGCCTATCGAATGGTACACTTCAGGTCTGTGCATTTTATTCATATATTTCAATTTTCAAAAATCATGTCTTTGCCTGAACTGGATTTAGGCTGCTCAATGAGTCAGTTACAAATAGTGCATCTCTTGACATTTATCATTACATCAGTCATTACCTGAGCCACATGCATTCAAGCCTGAGTCCTCGGCGTACGGTAACTTTAAACCCTAGATCTGAGCCGGGTGAGCACCCTGGGGCCCGTCTTCTGTCTGACGGGCCAACACCTGCAGCCCAGTGCTCAGACTTCACAGAGGTTTCTTCCTCTACTAGCCCTCAGATAATCAGTAACTCTCACAAAAGCCACTCCTGCCCCAAAAGCCAATTACTAGAACTGGCCACAAGACTGAGAAAAAGTCTTTTTAAAGAATTCTTATCGTCAGAGTAGAAATTTTAGGTAAACTGAAGTTCAAGTTTTCAAATTCAGTTTTAGCTTAAATCCAAGAACTGGGCAAGTCCACTAGACCATCGGCCCTACAGCAGCAGAGCCACCTGAGAGCTGAACCACGGTAACCAGTGCTTCGGGTACTGCAGAACATGCTGACGCTCCAAGTGAAACCTGAATAATCAATTCATTTGTGAATTATATGAAAACTGAAAACCCACCCCTTTTTATGGAAAAGTGATTCAGAAGAAGGGTAGTAGCTGGTACAAACTCTTCAATGAAGCAACGGGTGGTAAAGGCCCAAGTTCAGCTACTGAACTGACCTGAATTTAGGTTTTTAGTTTTGTGTGATGTGAAGATAATCAGAGAGGAAGCACCAGCCAAGCCGTCGCCAAGGAAGCGCTCCTTCTGTGCTGAGGACGCTCGGAGGCGGCCAACAGACGGAAACGTACCCGTGCAAACCCTGGCCCTGAGGCCTGAAGGGCTCGCTGCCAGCCTGGAGTGCCAAACACGGTCGTTGTTCATCCTCACATGCAACGTGTGCGTCGCGACCGCGGGGAACCCTGTTGCTTGAACGTCATGTTGGCAGATGCAGGTAAGTTCGTGAGTGATGTAAGGATGATAGAGACGTAGGACGGGAGGCAGTTTATATTTAAGGGGTATGTTTCAATCTAAAACCATTAAAGACCTGAAGGAGCCACCTGAGTCTTCCAATTAGACTTAATTGAATTTTATAGGAGAAAATGTATACAGTGGTAACATCCTTGAATTTGGAGGATATTCAGAAATATTAGGACCTTTATTCTATACTTACTTTTAATAAAAAGACTCTACAGTACTTAGATAATAATATACTCCTGTACTTAATTATATAGCTAGAACTTGAATATCCTTCTGCCAGATGATCTTGAATAAAAAGGTAAAAATCAAATCCAATTCACTTGACAGGGTACTCCATCAAACAAACATAGCGACAACATGACCTGAAGTGACAGGATGAGGGCCGGCAGCCAAGTAATGAAGAATGCTGAAATGCAATCACATCCCTGAACGATCTTTTGGTTCAAAACTCACCCTTCAAGAAAACCTACCATCCCAGGACCGCAGTTCGTTCCATCTGCCAGGGGCATGTGCTGGGTGCGGCAGCCGTGGTGAGCACCTCCTGCCCCCGTGCACCAGAGGCGCCGGCACTGTTTCTGCAGAGAAGCAAAAGGCAGGCTGACCCAGCAAGTGCGCCCTACCACCCCCGGCCAGCGCGGTTAGTGCAGTGGCTTTCAGGTGATCTCACACTTTTCCTGGTTTCATGGTCAGAGCTGGAAATCAGCAAAAGTCTTTACTGAGTTCTAGTCATCAGTTTTCCTCTTAACACATAAAATGGCAACATTTAGTATTTAAAAACTTTCAGGTTTTCATCATACATTCAACAATGGGAGAAATGAATTTGAGTGGAAATACTCAAAATCATGTGGGACATTTTCCTAAAGGGCGTTTTGTTGTTAAATGTTATTCTCAGGGCATTTCCAAAGCCCCTTTCGATCTGCTGGTGGAATGAATGTATGAATAATGTGCATACAGATACTGTATAATGTATCCTGGCTTCCTAGGTTGTGAATATATAATGTATACTTTCAACTTCTGAACAAAGGGCTCTCAATCTACAGAGCCTCACAGGAGATACACCCAAGACAATTCTTTCTTTTTCTGAATTTAAATTCAAAGTTTATTTAGTGTCTAAATCAGGTAGGAAAGAAATGTATCTTATGTAATGAAAAATTAAGGTGAATATTCCCCTCTCCACAGTGGATGTTTAAAGATTTATTAAAATTTGTGATTATTAAATTTACAACTTTAGAAACAATATTCACTATGTAGAATATGCTCTGTATTTCCCTGCACTCAGTTAAGAAACTTTCATTCATTCATTCAAAAAGCATTTATTTTGTGGCACCTACTACCTGCAGATCCTGAACTGGATATGGGGATATACCCTTTTTTAAATGAATGAATAAGACTGTTTCTGGTTCCAGGAGCCTCACAATCCTGTAGTGTATTTACCCTACAAAAAACCTTCAAAAAAACTGTAAAATGATAGTTTAACAAAAACTAAACAACAGGCCCCAAATTTCATTCATTTCAATTCAAATATATGTAAGTTAAAATGTAGTCTATTAGATTACTGGGGCCTTTGATACAATCCATTATTAAAACACATATTTTCTCCCCTGCCCCAAAATAACAGTATTTGAATGTTTGTAATATTCAATAAACTATCTGTGGCTCTCTTTTCTAAATGGGAATACTTTGTAGGATTTTGTGAGTGTTAATGAAATAATTTTAAGAACTTAACACAGTTCCTGGTGTATGATAAGTACCCAATAAATTTTAAGTGTCCTTTTCTACAACCCTTTCTGTCAAATAGCAAATTTTACAAGACTTAAAAACTTCTAAGATATAGTCAGTTCACTTTCTGTTCAAAAGAATAAATGTGTATTTTGAAATATATTCTAATTACAACCTTATGGTAGTTTTCAAGCAGACGAACAATATTTTTCTTACCAAATAGGGACACACTTGTGATCCAGGACCAAACGTAAGCTCACACTGCCTGTCCCCGTCGTACGTCAGCCCCGGGAGTTGCGGAGACAGATCATAGGCTCTCCCACTGGGTCTGTCAAGGAGGCACTCCCCGCGGCCAGTACTGCACCGACAGAGAAAGCACTCTGAATGCATATGGATACATTTTGGTATAACATCTCTTGATCACATTTTCTGCTCTTCTGCATTTGCAAAGAGAACATGAGTATTTTTCCCATAATTGAAAAACAAACTCCTATCAAAGTCAGGAATAAAGCCCTACAGTTTACAAAGGACTCCTTCCGTGTTTACTCTCATTTATGCCCCACGGGTGCCTTCAAGATACAATTTTTGAAAAGAGCGATGACAAAGAACAAGCTTCATTTGAATACACTTTATGAAACATACATTCCCACGGTGACCAGACTGTACCTTCGTCCTGCTTCACCCCCCGGTGGCAATGCTGGATATCTAATGTCCGAATGGTCAAAACATAAAAAGAAGTTTCAAACTGTTTGAGAAAATACAGTTCTATACAACATCAAAACAAAGTCATTTCAAAAAGTGTCAGACTGTCTCCATCTCCAACGTATTTTTTTTAAGAAGGGACTAAAACAGTCACGAACACTGACTCTGGGGTGCGCGTTCTGGTCCCACCACTTCCCGGGATGCTCAGCTGTGGACAAGGGGTGTGACCTCTCCGACTCTGAGTCTCCTAGTCCATGAGCCTTGCGAGTTGCTATTCAAGTAGGTAATACACTTAAAGGACTTATGAAAGTGGTGAACAGGGAAAGCAAGTATTTGTCACCCCGAGTTTGACCTGCAATATCTGGTCTGCGGAAACCCTGATGAGGGTCAGTCATTCCAACTCGGTCAAAAGAAACAATTTGTTCCACTGCACTAATCAGAAGAAATATCTGGAAATTTTTACTGGCTAGAAGGACATTTAATCTTGTCAAAAAAAATGGACATGTAACTTTTAAAATTCCCATTGGAGAGAGCATATGAATATCCCTTCCAAAAATAAGCAAACCCACCGGTATTCTTAAGCAATACCTCAGCCACTGAACGAAGCTCCATCAATCACATACAGACCAGCAACGCCGTGTTGCACTTTTACATCAACTTCCCATACAAGGATAATCAGTGATTATCATTATGGAATATGTTTATAAGCATATATTCCAAAATGTGGCTTCACTTATATTCCCAGAGTTCTTGTCAAGAGAGGAAACTAGAAACTGCTTAAATTGGTGATTAGACTATGTGGCAGAAAAAAACAAAAAAGGGCTGTGTTTACAGGAAAGGGATCACCCAGGAAGAGCTTGGCTTTGCCTTTTGGGCAAGTTTTAGGACCTAGTATAGAAACATCGTTTGGGTTAAAGAAATTGAGGAGAGAAACCTGGTGGGAGACGGAGGGACAAGGCAAGCAAAGCCCGGATCCACCTCCTCCCAGAGCTGGAAGACCTGCAGAAGAGCACGTGTGGCTGGAGGCTCCGCAGCCTGCGGGGGACACTCGCACGGTGGCGTCAGCTATCCTCTGCCCTTTAAGGGTATCTCATACGTAAGGCAAACTCCTCTCAAATTATTACCTAATAGCTTCTGGGAAAATTCGCATACAAACAAGGAAGCTGTGATTCACATTATGTCCCCCTAAAGAGGAGTTATCATAACTGAGGGCCCAAATTTTAATAAAAAGATAGCTAGTCTGCAGTGCTACCCAAAAAAAAATTTTAGGACTGAAATAATATGCATATACAACTCCTTCCTTGTTTTTAAAAACACATTGGTGCGGTGAAAGGAAGCTTAAATTTAAACCATGAAAAACTAAATAGAAATTGAACCACAACATACAAATTTGAATTTCATAATGTAATAGATGTCCAATTACGTAACTAGAAATAACTTCAGACTTACTCAAGGAATTCAGTGATATATTTCTGACTACATTTTGACCAGGTCCAAGGACTCGTGTGGTAATTTAAAGTTGGAGCCATTACATGATATTGATGTTTAATTCCAGTTTCCTTACATTTAAAACTATCATCATGTGGAACATTAAATCTAAAAAATAAATAAACAAACACTTAAAAATATAAAATTATGTATATAACAGTAACATATTTGTATACTATAATGCAAAATACAGGTAAATCTGATTACATCAGAATTTATATTCTTGATCTCTATATAAAGCATTATAAAATGAGGGTTATCTTCATGTTTACAATCACATGACCTCATAGAATTATAAATCATAACTGATCAGTAGCACAGTCTGTAGGTTTGGTATCTGAGTCGAAACAATCCAAGCATGTGGATTCTGGGGCACCTCATCAAACGTGGACACAGCACTCACACAGCAACACCTGCTGGTTTCAACATGCACGCCCTGGAGATGCGGACAGATTAGGGAAAGGCCGCAATGCCACACTAATTTCTGGACCACTGTCTGCAGCTGCAGTATTGACAGGACTTCTTCATACTTTGTGGTGAAGTACAACTGATGTACAATATTGTATGGGTTTCAGGTGCACAACACAGTGATCTGACAGGTAAACAATTTAATTAAATAGCTGGCCCACAACAGAATCTACCCATCATCCTCCTGAGGACTCGAGCATAAATTCATGTCTAGAAGACACACTGAGACCACGTGATTCAGGTCCTTGACTACCGAACACTTAAATGGGTCTTTCAGTTAAACTACTCACCCATATTCTAAGGACACCTATAGAGTCTGGGAGAAAATAAGTGTCCGGGGTAGCCGCCTCTGCAAGAACGGCCTCCGCCCAGTTACGGCCTTCGAAACCCGTGACTGGTGGTCTCCGCGGGCCGCTGCTCAGCTCCTGAGGCCGTCGGCCATGCTCCTGACCCCGCCCCCACTTCAAGGGCTCAAACCCCCACGTACGCACCTTGCCGACGCTCATGAGACATAACCGTGCTAAAGGCAAACCGAAGAGCACTCGTTTAATAAAAGAGTGTCTCTGTTTGAGATTGTCCCAGCTGAATACTCTGATGATGCCAAGGCATGACCAGGAAAAGGAAATACGGTCAGACCAGAGGAGGCAGCTCTAGCCCCAGCTCCTCCCAGGAGTGCTGGGGGTCCGTGCGGAGTCACTTCTCAGAGGAGGAGCGGCGGGCTTCTGACCTCCCGCGGGAGCTCTGAGCGTAGCACAGGAAACTGAGGCCTCCACACTCAGTGAATTTTTAATAATGCAGGAACACGTTGGAGAAGCCCACATTTTTACAAGGAACTACAGAGCTGGGAGAAGAAGTTGTCTTAAACGTATCTTTTAATGACTAAGAAATTCCCATATGCCAAACTCTCTCCTGGGGCTCTGAGCTACATCACAAACACCGCCGGGAGCCCCCAGAACCGGGAGGCCCTGCAGGCCCTCCCACAGGAGGGTGGAGGTACCTGGTCACGAATAGGATAACAGGGAACAGAGGCCAGAAGTGCTTGTCACGTAGTCCAACAGAGTAAATGAAAAGCACCCCAAGCCCTGGCTCGGCTTGGCCTGGCGATCTGTGCGGCCTGCCTGACCCAACACGTCACAAAGGGGCCAGCGGGAGCATTTCGGGGATGAAAGTCACACTCATGTTTCTAAAGACATCCAGGTGCTAGCTGCTCAGCTGCAGGTGGAATTTGGGCATCTGTGCCATGATACACATAAGGCGTGTACGGAGGGGACAGGAAGGTACTCACACGTGCCCGAGCTCATGGGCGATCGTGAAGGCGGCGCTGAGTCCATTTTCTTCACTCACAGAGCAGCTCCGCAGAGGGTCGCACAGGGTACCTAATTCCGCTAGGCCTGAAAAAGTTCACGTTGGCACCTCATCAAAACAGGAAATATGACCAAATCAGAAAGGGCTAGATTTTAAAGCATTTGCAGGGGCATTACTGCCAATTAATGCAGTTGGCTCTTAATGTTGCATGAACATTTTCTAAGGTGAAAGAAAAAGAAAAGATCTGTCTGCACTTGAAATCTTTTTAGGAGGTTCTTGGATTCTTTTACTGAAGAAATCAATCCAAAAATATGGGGTGAGCAAACAATATAAAACAGGGAAAGAATATTCGTTACAAGAAGGATGTTACCCGTCATTAGTGGGAATGGCAGGAGAGGTGTGACTGCTTCAACTGTAACAGAATAGTATGAGATACTACATACCTACGACATGTCTTTTAATTTGTTAAAGTTTTGAGGCAGCATACTATTCAATCACAATGAAATGAGTAAACATATGTTAAGTGCTTAAAATAGTACCTAGCATTTAATACATTAAATAAAACATGATTATAACATAATTGTTATACTCAATTTTGTAACCCTTTCACCAACAGAAAATGTACCATATATTAAGATCTATTCACTCATATATAGAATAACATGTAGCTCCAATATGCTGCTGAAAGATCAAGAGGCTGGCTGGACACCAAAGATGACAAGATCTTGTTCTTTAATTAATCTAAAATATGAAATCCAACATATATGTTCATTACTACAATCCATGGTCCATCAACCAAGTTCACATTTCACTCATTTACTTTTTTATTTAACATAATCACATGGTTTTCTATTACTATCCTTCAATACATGCTTGTAAATTTACCTGCCCTATAATTTTCATAAAAAGAGATTTTGTCATCTACAACCAGTTTCTTACTGTAAAGTTTTTGCATTTAGAAACTTATTAATATAGAGAATAAGCTTATCTACTGTGTTTTAACTTTATTCTATGTATTGTTTTATTCATAAAAGCTAAATGCGTGGACGTTTTCTTAGCATCTCAGTTAAATTTCTCAACAATTAGAATGTTTTTGTGTGCTTTTGAAAGAAATAAAAGTTAAACTGAAGAATCTAAAATGCTGGGAAAATTCAGTCTAAAAGTTCATTCACCAATATTTTTTTTCTTAACAGAAAGATTTGCCCTCTTTTTGACCCCATAGCCAGAAGGCCTTGCTTGGGCTAAGTTCCCCAAAAGGGGTTTTTCTTAGAATCAAGACCAAAAAAATAAAATAAAGATAAAGAGAGAGAGAGAGAGAGAGAGATTCTTTCTTTGCCCAAAGTGTAATACAATTGATTTCCTTAGAATTATAAAATTCATCCTTCTATGTGCAATTATTTTTGTCAGTCTGGATCAGTTTTACATTTCTCCCTGTATCAGTGTAGTTTAAACTGAACACATTTTTTTCCTGAATATCCTGCTGTTCCCATGCCTTCATTAGTATTTTCAATATGTCAAGTGGCTCAATTCCAATATACTGCTTTTCAGGGCAGGACAAATATTTGGAACACAATATTGACTCAGTTATCACCCAAACTTTGTTTCATGCTCAAAGATGGAACAGATCTGATAAAATACATATTACACATGATCAGAGACTAACCTAAAGGATGCCCATAAACAAGGAAGACCAGCAAAAATCGAAGTGAATGTAGAGCAGTCGGTTGACGGTTTGTGCCTAGATTCACGCAAGCTGCTACTGGGCTCTCTAAAAGGGGTCAAAGGTAGAATAAAGTAGCATGGGCCCCAAATTGATACAGGTTCCCTATGTTTAGAACTGCAAGAAACTGCATAGAGTTACCCAATCTACAGTCCTGAAGAATGAAAACCATTTTTCAACATCCTTCGCAAAGCATATACTCAAACACGGCAACAATATCTACAAAAGGAGATACAGAAGAAAACCTTGTATTTACTATCAACATTTTGTGTTTGTCATTGGTAACTATCCTTAGTAATTTTTCCACATATTTTAGATGAGAATAAATGTGTTTCTGAAGAGTCCTCCAAACACAAAGAAACTAAATCATTAATACAAACACTTTCATGAAAACTAAGCTCACATGATTTCTAAGAATGATCAAGTCCCTACCTCCAAAATCTAACACACACGTTTTCTCCCTCCCCTTTCCTGTAGACATGCATGCACACATAACTACATACATATTTATACTCTAAGCTAAATCCTGAGTGGTAGCAGTGAATAGCAGGGTATTAGAATCTGTTCTGAGGGTAAATAGCAGTGAAAGCAGTACGATCCAGAGAGGAAGAGCTTGTGAGAGGGCGCTTCAAAGTAGAGCATCTGATCCTAACTTTTCCCACATTAAACCAAGTCCCACATTAACCCTGGTTAGTAGCCCCCTCTGCATTACGGGAAACCAATGGAAAAATCCTCTCTGGAGGAAAGTAGACACTTTTTAAGCAGTCCACTGCTAATCCCATGGATTAATATTAAGTAAACATGAGCTCACAATCAAAGACCAAACATGGAAGCGAACAAGCCAGCCAGAGAAAGGGCACCAAACAACTCATGACCACACTTAGCACAGATTTCCCAACATCAAGAGTCAGAAGACAGTGCAGCAATATATTCAAAATCCCAAGAAAAAATAACTATTAACCTAAAATGGAACCTAAATAGAGAATTTTTCACTAACGCATCTTCACTAAAGGAACTTGTAAAGGATATAATTCAGAAAAAAAAAAAAAAGGAAAATTACCTTGGAAAGCAAAGCTTGAGGTGTGAGAATTATGTAAAATTCATAAATAGTGGCACAAATGTAAACAAATATTGAATGTAAAACATTATCCCTTAATATGCAAGGTTTGCAAACTGATAGAAAATAGCAGACAACAATACCAGGCAAGTTAGGGAGAAGTCAAAGTTTAAGTAATCTAAGATAGTGTTACTTTAGGAGAGAGGTTTAGACAAAGTCAACTTAAAACTTAAAAAGTTAACTCTGACCACAGTAAGCTCAAAAATAATAAAACAGTATATAAAATTCTCAACCTGCAGTAGGAAAAGTGGAATAAGAAAACTACTAATTTAAAAACTTAGCCCCGAGAAAGGCCAGAAAAGGCAGAAGGGAGGCACACAGTAAAAAAGGGGATAAACAGAAGGCAAACGCAAAATGGTGCATATATAATTACAATAAAGTAAATGGACTAACCTTGTTGGTTAAACATGATTATAGATATTACTTTTAAAATCCAATTATACAGTTTCCAAGAAAATCACCTAAGGTATAAAGTCATTGGAAAACTTAAGAAAAAGATATGTTCAGCAAATACTAAATGACAAAGTTGAGGTAGCTCTAGTATATATTTAAAATATGATGTCTGACAATGACTATACTAATTTTTTCTCTTTAAGAAGCACTGCTAAAGAGAGCCACTATACAACTGTAAAAGGTTCAATTCAAACTTACAGGCACCTTTTAAGTTAGCCTGAAAATAGAAGAAATGAAACTTTTAATACTATATGGAGAGAGTGGCAGATCCATACTCATGTTTCAAATTAGTGACCCAATAAGCAAAAAAAATTAAGATATAGTTGATTTGAGCAACATGATTAGCAAGCCTGATTTAACAAACATACAGTACATGCACACATCTGCTGTGTACCATGGTCAGAGAATATACATTCTCTTTAAACATACATGGAGCACTTTCTTTAATTGGCCACATAGGAGACCACAAAGAAAAGTCAAAGAAATCATGATGGAATTTACATGTACCTAGAATTTTTTAGAATCTTCAACTGCATAAAATACTATCAAAACTACGGGACATAACAAAAATGAAATCTTGAAGTAAACTGATAGTCATAAATAATAAAATCAGGAAAGTCCTGGATATTAATCAGCTAAGCAGTCAATTTACATTACAAACAGAACAGGGGAGTAAATTGAAAAACAGAGCAGGAATTAATGAAATAAAAATGAGAAATAAAAAGCCAATAGCTGATCCTATAGACAACAGATAATATGCCAGTGAAATTGAGCCATTAAATTTAATTTAAACTTAAAAAAGAGAAATAAAATGGATCACAACTATAGCTATAGACAGAAGACCTTAAAAAGATAAAATGCTCAGAAAACAATTTAAGTTAATAAATTTTGCTACTAAAGGAAATGGCCAAATATCTAGAAAAAAATACTTTCAAAATATATTCAAGAAGACAAAATAGTCCAGTTACCATTTGACAAATTAAATAGTTAAAACTCTTTCCACAAGAAAACATGAAACCCAGACAGCTCTCCAGGTGATATTTCTCAAGCTTTCAAACTACAGATCAAGCCGATATTAGAGTGAGTCTCCAGGGAACGGAAAACAACATACACTCCCACTCTATAAAGTGAATAAAACCTTAGTATCAACATTAGACAAATATGATATGATAAAAAGAAAGTCATTTCACTCCTGAAAATATATGCATAGAATGAAATCTGTGTTAAAAAAGGGGGGGCACAGGGACTAGATCAAGGTTGGTTTAGCATTAGAACATCTATAAAAGGACTTCACTAGATTAAAATAATTATATGATCATTTCAATATCTGCAAAAATTTTTTTTAAGAAAGTAAAGCATACTGTGGGGGGGCACAGGGAGGGCAGTACAACACAGAGAAGACAAGTAGTGATTCTACAGTCAAAATGGTGCATATATAATTACAATAAAGTAAATGGACTAACCTTGTTGGTTAAACATGATTATAGATATTACTTTTAAAATCCAATTATACAGTTTCCAAGAAAATCACCTAAGGTATAAAGTCATTGGAAAACTTAAGAAAAAGATATGTTCAGCAAATACTAAATGACAAAGTTGAGGTAGCTCTAGTATATATTTAAAATATGATGTCTGACAATGACTATACTAATTTTTTCTCTTTAAGAAGCACTGCTAAAGAGAGCCACTATACAACTGTAAAAGGTTCAATTCAAACTTACAGGCACCTTTTAAGTTAGCCTGAAAATAGAAGAAATGAAACTTTTAATACTATATGGAGAGAGTGGCAGATCCATACTCATGTTTCAAATTAGTGACCCAATAAGCAAAAAAAATTAAGATATAGTTGATTTGAGCAACATGATTAGCAAGCCTGATTTAACAAACATACAGTACATGCACACATCTGCTGTGTACCATGGTCAGAGAATATACATTCTCTTTAAACATACATGGAGCACTTTCTTTAATTGGCCACATAGGAGACCACAAAGAAAAGTCAAAGAAATCATGATGGAATTTACATGTACCTAGAATTTTTTAGAATCTTCAACTGCATAAAATACTATCAAAACTACGGGACATAACAAAAATGAAATCTTGAAGTAAACTGATAGTCATAAATAATAAAATCAGGAAAGTCCTGGATATTAATCAGCTAAGCAGTCAATTTACATTACAAACAGAACAGGGGAGTAAATTGAAAAACAGAGCAGGAATTAATGAAATAAAAATGAGAAATAAAAAGCCAATAGCTGATCCTATAGACAACAGATAATATGCCAGTGAAATTGAGCCATTAAATTTAATTTAAACTTAAAAAAGAGAAATAAAATGGATCACAACTATAGCTATAGACAGAAGACCTTAAAAAGATAAAATGCTCAGAAAACAATTTAAGTTAATAAATTTTGCTACTAAAGGAAATGGCCAAATATCTAGAAAAAAATACTTTCAAAATATATTCAAGAAGACAAAATAGTCCAGTTACCATTTGACAAATTAAATAGTTAAAACTCTTTCCACAAGAAAACATGAAACCCAGACAGCTCTCCAGGTGATATTTCTCAAGCTTTCAAACTACAGATCAAGCCGATATTAGAGTGAGTCTCCAGGGAACGGAAAACAACATACACTCCCACTCTATAAAGTGAATAAAACCTTAGTATCAACATTAGACAAATATGATATGATAAAAAGAAAGTCATTTCACTCCTGAAAATATATGCATAGAATGAAATCTGTGTTAAAAAAGGGGGGGCACAGGGACTAGATCAAGGTTGGTTTAGCATTAGAACATCTATAAAAGGAATTCACTAGATTAAAATAATTATATGATCATTTCAATATCTGCAAAAATTTTTTTTAAGAAAGTAAAGCATACTGTGGGGGGGCACAGGGAGGGCAGTACAACACAGAGAAGACAAGTAGTGATTCTACAGCATCTTACTACGCTGATGGACAGTGACTGTAATGGGGTATGTGGGGGGCACTTGGTGATGGGGGGAGTCTCGTAACCATGATGTTGCTCATGTAATTGTACATTAATGATACCAAAAAAAATGATACATAAACAGAAAAATAAAGAAAGTAAAGCATACATTAATTTTTAAAACACTCTAAGAATTAGGATAAGATTATCTGCCAAGGACCTATAATGAATATTTATTCTTAATGGTGATACTTTTACAAGTATTCCCTTTAAACTTCAGGGAAAAAGGCTACTATCACTTCTATTCAACATTCTACAGGAGGTCTTTGTCTTGCTATAAGATGAAAAACAAAACAAGAAAATTGTAAAGACTTAACAAGAGGAAGGACAATTTGCCATAATTCACAAATGGTATAACTGTCCAAACAGAAAGCCAAAAGAGTCTTCAGATAAATTATGAAGAATAATTAATAACTTAGGTGGTTGGATTTAAAAATAAACCAAATACTCTACTGCATTTCTATCAATCAGCAGCATATGCTGTTTATACTAATACAAGTTATATGTGTGGTCTGAGGAAAATGCTATCTACATAGAAAAGGAACTGACAAAACTCTGGTACCATATAAAAAATTGTCCCAAATGGTTTAGAGATGTACATGTAAAAGGACAAATGTTTAAATATTTGTAAGAGAAAGAGTATGTTTAGACTTTGAGATACGAAAGGGTTTTTTAAATAAGATATGAAATCACTAACCCTAAAATTATAAACTCAGCTACATTATATATTTTGAAACAAACAAATGAAAACTAAGCAACAAATTATAAAGATATTTGCACTCTATCTAAACCAAAAGGGTTTGGTATTGAGAAGTTATAAAGAGCACCTAAAAAGCAGTAAGAAAATGACAAATACCATAGCGGAAAAATAGGCAACATTTCTTTCATTCCTCCCAAAAAAGCAAATACAAATGTCCAGTAAACACGTGACAAGAGGGTCAAGCTCACTAGTAATCAAGGACTGAAAGTTATTACTGTAATGAAATACATTACATTTAGGTAGGCAAAAATGAGAAATCTGAGGATACCTTGCATTTGTTGATAAGGATATAATCAAAATGAATGCTTACACACTACTGATAAAGGTGTAAATTGGTACAACCACCTTAGAAAATCATTTGGCATGTCTTATAAAGCTGAACATTAGCACATGTGATGACACAGACACTATCATCAGACTGTACCTTAGCTTTTACAGTCAAGTTCATAATAGGAAAGAGCTGGACTCAGCCCAAGTAGCCACTGCTAAGGTGTGATGTGCAAGCTGTGGCGGAAATATTACACAGCAGTAAAAATGAACGACTTATAACACAGAGCTCAAAAAGAAGGAAAACAGCTTCCTTTAGGAGCATGCACAGACACCATTTTTTTTAAAAGACTCAAAAAATTAGGATAAGGTTATCTGCTAAGAACCTATAACAAAGATTATTCTTAATGGTAAAACTTAAAAAGTATCTCCTTTAAAATCTAGGGGAAAAGCCTACTGTCATCACTTCTAGTCAACAAAAATAACAAAACTATTTTTCAAAAGATAGAAGGAACTGAAACATACGGAACTCGCAGCAGTGGCCACGTCTTGGGGTGATCCCAAGGGAGAGATCAAGGACTTAGCACAGGCCACACAGTAATACTGATTAAGTTCCAGTGGTCAAATGTGATGGTGTATGCATGGCTATTCATTTTATTATTTTGCTTTAAGTTTGCAGATGTTATTATGTCTTATTTCATATGCAAACAGTATATAATAAAGGCCTTTTAATACTTCAAGCTTTGCATAGCACTTAATATTTAGTAATCGGCACATAAGTATCTGTTCTTTTTTTTAATTTATGGAAGCAGAGTCAAATAATAATGACAATTATTCATCAAGACAATCAAAATGATTAAAATATAAAAATAGAAGGAAAGTAATCTAAACATTTTAAACAATTATATAAACTATCTTTAATTTATAACTTACCTAATGTATCACATTGCTCTCTAGCTCCACAAATGTCTTCCCTTAAAACAAAAGATTTATTTTGAAGCAATTTCAGAAAATATTTTGAAACAAACCAAAACAGACATAAAGTTTTAACTATGTCATGACTATTACCACAAACAGACTTCCAAAATCCATCTTATTAAAGCTCTCAGTAAGTTTAAACCGAGTAATAGGCCATTTATGCATATCCATAAGCAACAGACGCTTTATAACAGTGATTGCTCTAAATACATGAAGCTTTACCCAAGTTCAATGAAAAGCTTTCTAAGTGTACTTTTCACCTGTCTGCTTTTCTTACGTAGTAGATATAACATAGGCACTCTCTTCTCAGGGTTTCAATGTCACTATGAACCTCAACTATTCTCAGCTGCATAGAGTGAAGTTCTCGGACACTACCAAGTCACTTAAATTTTTTACTTCCGCCTTCTTAGTCCCTGACCATTCAACTTGACAGTTCTCGTGTCTCTCTTCTTATGTCTCTGCATGTAGCCCTTTCCTCCTTCCCACCTTCAGTTTGTTCTCTCCAGTCTTTGCTGCTTGGCTTCTGACTACCATCCAGGACAGAACCACAGGCTGATGACAGAGCCTGTGTGTAAAATTACGTTGATGCTCCTTTAGTTTTGAAAAGAGACAAAGCACATGGAGCACATGTCAGCTATTTTAAATGGATTAAATATTTTCATTTCAGGATTCTAGAAAGCTGAGATTTCTGAGCCTGACCTGTAAGTGAAAGAATCACTTCCTTTGGACAGACAGCCAACCAGTCAACCAGCCAGCCAAGCATGTAAGTATTACGGCAGTGTCAGTGCTGCTGAGACACAGGCATGAATTAAGGCAGCATGGTGCTTGCAAAATTGATGATCATTTTATAATGGCAAAAGCTGGTTTTCAGGTAAGTCAAGTAGGCTTGAGCAAAGCCTAGAGAAAGCAGCCTGGCAACTAAGACAGGCACTGGGCATCAAAACAAGGCACAGGTTAAAACTTTTTAAGTACAGGGCGTCCAAAGGTAGACAACCAAATTACATTCAAACTCTTCTTCCCAAGGGACTGAAAGACCAAGTGGGGAACAAACAAAACCCAACTACATTAATTTCCAATATGTCTCCCAATTCTCTCCTTCTGTCAATAATAAAATAAGGAAATTATTTTGTTCCGGTCAGGCCATTACTTAGCAACCTAACATTGCTAATTTTCTAAGGAATCAACTAGTATTCTGGTTCAAAGAAAACAGAAGAAAAGGCTTTCATTCGATGGTATCTTTTGTGATACAAGTTCTCCTCGAACACTTCCGTGTATCACTGACAAACAATTCGGGTAATGGAAGTGGGGGTGAGCATGCATGCTGGGGAGCAGGGTGGCAACTAGAGAAGGGCCGCTCCTGCAGCCGCACCTGGTGATTAGAACGGCCGTGTCGTGGTGCGCGGGGTGCGCGTCGTCAGGCACGTTCTGCGTTTGCTGCCATAAACAAAAGTTGTGTAATGTTGTAGCTGCATTGAAACTGATGACTGGTCCTTCCTGCACAAAAAGCAAGCGATTCACCGTCACATCAAAACAAGCAGGGCCTCTGTTCCTTACATGCCAGCACAGACGCGATTTGTCACAGAGCATTTTAAAACAGGCAAATGAAGTGCCACGTAATTAGTCTAACAGAATTTAGCAATAATGAAAAAAATATCATCATTATAATGAGATCTAATTAGGGCGTTCCCAAGAAGACCGCCACTATTTAGGCTCAAAAACTCCTAGAAATTACCATATTTTATGTCCTTCAACAATTACATAAGTGGATGATACCAGGAGGCTTTTCACTTTCAGTTTTTAAATAGTTTACTTTTGGTACTTTCTCTGCTGTCATGCCATTTTATTAACACCACGACAGAAAAAGCTAAGCTCACTCCTTCTCAAATCAAGTCTTTTAATGTAAACTTTAAGAATAGCTTATTTCTGGTAAGTTTCATGATCTCTATATATTCCCATTAGGTGCCTACTACAACTAAGATTACTACTTTTAAGCCTGTTTCTTACCTGTTCATTGTGAATCACAACTAATTTTACAATCACTATGTTGATAAGATTTCCAATACTTGAGTCCTTGTAGATTGCTGCGACCTGCAAGGGAAAAACATGTAGCGTTAGGTGCCTAAAATGAGTATTTCTCCTCACAAGGAAACTGAAATCGGGCTGGAGGATCCATTCTCCACCTCGGCTGCACACGAGCATCTCCTAGGGACTTTTCACGAACCCCAGTGACCAGGCCACACGCCCTTCACCAACCAAACAGGTCTCTGGGTAGAGGCGCCGAATGTCGCCTCACTAGAGGGTCCAAATCTGCATTTTAACAATATCCTCAAGTGACTGAGCATGCGTCACTGCTTGAAAAATATTATTCTAGATGGATTCATTAAGAATTAACTTCATTCTGGATCACAATCCGTAGCTTACCGGACCCTAACACTCCCTAGACGTATGTACGGTTTTCCTGATCTTTTCTGCCTTGGTTGCATGTCGCCAAGTGTGCCCATGACTTTCGATGCTCAGCAATTCTGGAACCCATGGGGACAGAGCCCGGAATCAGGTGAGAAGCTATGGAAAAGGGGTCGCAGATCACAAACCAGTCCGTCTCTGACCCCCTTCGGGGGCGCAGCTTGTGATTCACGGCTGGGGCACCTCTCTTCCTGGGCTGCCCAGGTCACGGCCGCGGGACACCGTGCTCTGCCCTGCGCTCCTCTGCAGGCACCAGCCGCCCAGGACCCTGCCCACTCCGCCCCCGCGGCTTCGGGTGGGGGGGGGCACTGCCCTCCCCAGGGAGGGTCGGGCGTCTGCTCCTGCCTTGCTGGCCGGAGGCCAGAGGGAGGGGGGAGGACACGCCCGCAGCCGCTGGGACAGCAGAGGGGCCCTAACGCCGGGGCCGGGGCCGCCTCGGTACGGCGGTGCCCCTGCGGCCTCTCTGGTCCCGGGGGGTCGGGCGGACACGGGCCGAGGGCGTTGCTGGAAACGCGGGCCCCGCAGGGTCACCACGGGCTTCGGACACATGTGCCAGCTCTGCTCCGGCCGCTGCCGCTGCGCGGCCGCAAATGCAGGCCTGTCGTCTCCGCCTTCTGGCAAGGGTGGCGGGGCCCCCAGGGAGGGTGCCGGTGAGTTCCAGGGACAGGGACAGGCAGGCACCCGGCGACACCGAGCAGGTCCGCTAGCACCGCAGTGCCGCTCACTTTAACGGGAGCTGAACGGAGGAACATTTTCCATGCAACTTTAAACACGACATCTATTACAAAAACAGTATACCCGTAGTAACTTCAGAGTTTTCCTCTGATCCTGTGAGTTTAAAAGTTGATGCTTTTCTAAACCAAATTACAAGGCAAACAATGAACCTCCCAGGAAGGCATCTCACACGAAGGCACCACCCAGGTAGGCACCCACCCCCAGGTAAGCACCCCCGAGTCAGGCACCAACCAGATAGGCACCAAGCAGGGCTCTCTTCCCCTACAAAAGGAAAACAGCAACGAAGACGTCACGTCACAGACCCTGAGTTCCCAGAATCCACAAAGAGCCTAAGTGCAAAGTGCACCGAGGCATCTAAACGACCAATTTTTCTATTCACTGCCCCAAATATGTTGACTACAAATGACAGTCTGGATGCCATAACTAGATATAAAACACAGAACCACACAAGTATTTTCAGTTTCAAAAGGAAACAGATGCTTCACCTTTATTAAAAAGTCACCAACCTACCAGCTGGAATTTGGAAACATATTCCCAGTATCCTGACAGATTTTTAAGTATATATTACTACAGGAAGATTTCCTTAAACTATGTTATGGAAAATATAATTCAAGTTTATTATGCAACATGAGTAATGTTATAAAGTGCAGTCCCAGGTTCATCCTCTCAATGCCATCTGTGATAACACAACCTACCTATCAGGCTGCCATAAGGACTGAGATAGTGTACAAAACGTATTTAGATCAGGGCTTGGGTTGTAGGGATCAATGGTAGGTAGCCATTGTTATCACTATTACTTCTAAAACGTCCAAAGGAAAGACACGTGTTGTGTCAATGCAGTTTCAAAGCAGCCATCACAGTACGTCCAAACTGGGAGCAGAGGTTCCGAGAACATCATTGTTTCATTATCGCTTTCAGTGATTACTATCTACTGACCAAACATGGGTTTCTCCCTAGATACCGAGATGAATGAGGCATGACCTCTAAAACCCCTCACACTGACATTTGCTTCTGTAGTAAAATGGCTGATTAAATAAGGTCATCTTGCTCCCTTACTTGTATGCATCTACTGTTTTATATAATCTGCATGCTCATACTCACCGTGTATACCATTTGCCATATTTGGACGTTTAAAGGTGCTATTATTGACCTACTCAATTAGGCAGAACTGTGAAGCAGGCAGAGGGATGGCCATATGGCCCCTCGTTACCCAGAGGCTTTTCTGATTTGCATTCATGCTTCTCTCATGCCCCAAACCACCACCCCGTCTCAGACTGCCGGGACGGAGGGGCACCGTGCTTCTGCTCCATAAATGCGTGAACCTGTTGAGTGTCTGTGTGACAGATGTGTTCCCAGTTTAAATTAAGTTGTTTAATTGTCACAACATATCCCATGAGATAGGAACTACTGTATCCATTTTTCAGAAAAGAAAACTAACGTACAGAGAAGTTAAGTATCACCCTGAAGATCAGGTAACTGGTTGGCATCAAAACCCAGCTTCCATTTTAGGCAGCCTGACTTCAGCTCTACTCTCTCCGATCGTCTGGAATTTCAGCATCCTGCCTGAAGCCCGTCCTCATCAGCCCTTGGTACAGAATGTTTACGGAACCCTGACGTGGTTCGCGCTCTAGCCTGATGCCGTCTTGCTGTGGCGCCTTTGAGATGACCTCAGAATCAGTCCGGTGCAGTCAGGAGCCTGAGCTTTCGTTCTAGCTCTGTTATCAGTTACAGGCAGGTGGTTGGCCTCTGGCAGCAGGTCTATCTACTTCTTGTCCCTGTATCTGCAACCACGTGGCAGCACTGAGCACCTCTGGTCACAGGCCCCAGTGTATTCAGTATCTACCAGCTGCCGTTGGGAGAGTGGTGTGGAGGGCACTTGCTTTAAAGAACAAAAGCATTCCACAGTTTGAGAAATACTGAGTAAAAAAGCTAAAGGTGTCTTTACAGAGTCTCGAATAGGCTAACATGTACACGTACAGTCTCTGGGGGAAGATTGTGCAGCAGTTCACACAACTGCTCAGCCACAGCCCTTTGCCCTCCCCAGAGAGGCGTGTCGCACGACTAGTATCTCATCCCGTAGGAAGTGCTAAGATTCCCAAAGAATGCCCTGCTCTAAAAAACCCTGTGTTATTGTTACCTATTACTGTAATCACTACATTTTAGAGTGCTATGCCTTAGAATTTTCATTGACCTAATTAAAATGCTTTTCATCCTTAAGTGGTTGTTTCCCTGTCATATAGAGACCATATTTCTCCCGGGTCTCATAAGTAGTCAACATTGCTTCACAAATATTTAGCACAAAGTAAAGAAATGATACGAGTTGCTTAAGTATTTTCTTTAGGAAAATTCTAGGCAAAATATACTCCATTAACTGGCCAATTATTTTGAAATAATTTATATATACAGTTTCATCAACTGTTCATATATAGCACATTGAGAGGCTATCTTCATTTCTTATCATTTTAGCCATTCTTAATTATGATAACTGAGTTTTAGGTATAAACATGATTTGATGATGCAAAACAATTACCACAATAAGTTTAGTTAACATCCATCACCACACAGTTACAAATTTTTTCTTATTATGAAAAAGTTTTCAGATCTACTCTCTGAAGCAGCTTTCAAACATACAATATTGTTAACTCCAGTCACCATGCTATACATCACATCTCCGGGACTTACAGTAACAGGAAGTTCATACCTTTGGACAACCTTCACCTTCAAAGTCATCCATGAAACACTGATTTTAACAAACTGAAGAGATTTTGTTTACAAACATCACTACTCTCACCAGAAAGATCTTTTATGTCAGAAAAAGCTGACACTCCATTTACTTACAAAGTAAATATGTGCGAAGGATTAAGAATCAGAGCACAGAGCTGAAGGAAAAGGTGATATAAATGGCTAGACCTAAACTATCAAAGTGCATCATTACTTTTCATTTTAGTGTGGCTGAAAATTTTCCCTATCCAAGGAAAGGTCTTTAGTTATTATTAGAAGCGTTTATCAACCATGGTTTAATATATACGGCTTATTCCTGATGGTCACATGGTAGTCCTTAGATTTACATTATTAAACCTGTAACAAGGTGAATTTTACGAACTCAGACATTTGTAGACACAATGGAGTGTAGACATCTCTGACATACAGTAAATATGTTTAAGGTTTATTAAGTAGTAAGTCATTAAGTATCAAATCTGTCGAAGTAATGTTTTAGTTTACACATACTTTGGTGGCTTAATAATGCAATGTAAGTACCATTTTACCCTGATACTGTCGCCCAAATTTTCTAATGATAAAAGCTTTTGAATAGCAAATAATTGAACAACTCTGTTCATTTAAACTTACTTCATTAGAGGTGCTCTACACAGGTGTGTCCTTCCTAATGTCAGTTTTGATGCCAGGAACCTTTTGAATGCAGATCGCTAAACCGCCTCTACAGCATGAGCACAACACTCCAGAAAGTGAATTAAGTCATACATTACTTCTCCATCACTACACTTAGAAATTTTGTTAAATTGTTGAAAGCAAAGAAAAAGTGTAGGACAGCAACACTGTTCACTTCACGAGGGATGGCTAAGGGGAGATAATCCTCTCTAAATTGTGAATATAATGCACCTACTCAGCGCTGACGGTGTTCGGCCACTTTCCCCCTTACACCTGAAGCCAACAGACAAAAACGACTTTACATCACTTTAAACTTTTCCTTAAATGGCTCACAATCATATTCCAAGTCTAAGTCACATTTTTTCTTTTTCCTAAATTACCATGACCAAGAACATTACCAATATCGTGAGTGGGTGTTTAAATAAATGTGGTTAGTGTCTCCTTGAAATTAGGACAAAATATGCAAAGCCTGAATGAGCTCCTTCCTCAACTGGAAATGTCTGGAGACACAAGTGCAGCCAGTAATTCCTCTTACTGCTTCAGAGCAACTCTGGTCTTGGACTTCACAGATAGAGAAATTCAACAAGTGGACTAGTTTTGACAATCTCTATGAACTGTGACCAACTGTCCCAGTTTGCCCAGGATGGAGGTGTTTCAAGAGACGTGAGATATTTAACACTAAAACAAGGAAAGTCCCAGGCAAAATAGGGACAGTCTGTTCCTCTTCCTCCAAGGTTGCTTTCACATTGTTTATATCCACAAATACAGTTGTGATCACTGTTTATCACTAATAATATAGATAAATACAGAACCACAAAGTCTGCTGACTTTCTTATAAAGGTATCTGAACATTCTTTTGAATGAAAATGAAGAAAGCACTAAACACAGGTACTTCAGAGGTCATCTGAAATGTGACCTGAGGAAAGATAAGATAGATTAGAACACCCAGGATCTGTATAAACAGGAGACTACATAAATCATCTCCTGAACTGGTATACTCCTGGGCAGGAAAGGGGGTGCTTCTAGTAGCTACTCCACAACAGCAGGCCTAAATCCAGGACCGTCCAGACAGACAGACAGTCTGTGTGTGTCTGCAGGACACAGAGCGCTACCACTCTGCAGGGCGCACAGCTGGTGCTCTGTCCTGTGCATACCGGCGCCACCCTAGCACAACAGAGATGGGTACCAGATCAAGGACTCACAGCTATGGTGATCTCGCGCTCCAAATTCGCTAAAGCAACTCTCTTAGTAATGGCCTACCTTTTTATCTCCAAAAATATGTTATTAACTTAAAATATCATTTGCTCAATTTATGATTTGGCAATAAGCCATAGTAAAAATGGTATCCTCTCCCCTCTGTAGAAATAGGGTGAGATTTTAAAGTTCAGATTCATGGCCAAAGATCAGTGCTGTCCCACTAGACTGTCCCTGTCACTAGGGGGCAGAAGCCATTCATGTGATGAATAATTCAAGTGTTTTCTGTTAAGTGATTTCAGAGGTTTTGAAATGTTTTTAGAGAGTTATATAATAAATACCCCATTGACTTACTTAGCCACCTACTTAAACTAAATTTCAATGCAATTTAATTGTTGGCTTAGACTTAGACATAATTTGCTTACATCCTAAGTTTGGAAAACATTTTTAAATTAAATATGAAAAATATTAAACATCTTAGGAAATTTAAAGGACAAGTTTACTTACAATTGACATCAGAGTTAGTACATAGTGCTGCAAATTCTGTCCATGATGATGAACCATTTTAGCATCAGCTGTAACCATAACTTCCACGTATCTTGGATATGATAAAAAACGTTTCTTCCTGGAATGTAATTGACTTCTTTCATGTTCCAAAGACATATTGTTTGAAGGGTCTCCTAAAATTATTTCCTTCTTTATATTAAGATCTTCATGCATGTTGCTACGGTTGTGAAAGGGTAAAGTGGTTTTCTTTATCTTAATATCTGGGGAGAAAAAGAATATAATGTATTACCATTAAATTGAATGAGACTAAAAATATTGCATAAAATAGAATAGCCAAAAATCTAATACTTAGGCATCTGCTCCCCATGTGAAACAATAAAAGCACAAAAAGAAATTATTTAAAAGTGTTGTACATTATTATGAGTAATACCACGTTGTACGTTATTTATCACTACCATAGTGATAAATGTCCACATGTTCACAGACTGCATGAACAAAACTGCATTTAAGTTTTATTTTAACAGTAGGACTATCCAAGAACATTTAGTAACCATTCGGTAGGCAATAAAAAATCAAGGACTCTATCTGATTTTTCTCAGTGAGTAAACTGGGTCCTCAAGCCTCCAAAGGCATTTAATCTCATTACAAAATAATCACATTTTGTATAAAACATAGAACAAACTCTTGTCATGACATGAAGAGCAGAAAACCAAACTATGTAAAAATGTGTTTTTTGAACTCAGAAAATCAAATGTTGATATAAATTTTATAATGATTATATAAAGTACTTGATTACTTTTATCTTTACTTTCATACAAATACAACATTCAAATGATTGAACACTGGAGATTATTAGAGCAATCACTTTTAAGTCCTATGGATTTATATAAGCACTTCTAAATTCTTGATTATTTGTACTAATAGGAAAGAATCCATAGGTAGAATGAATGCTTGTCTATTTCCTTTTCCTTCAATTTGTACCCTCTACTCTTCTTATTTTTCTCCACTAATTTTTCTGACAATTGTTTGGTGGAACTATTTTTAATAGAGAAGTAGACCAAAAGAATCAGGTAACAAGAACTAAAAAATCTCAGTTCATAAACCAAATAACCAAAGCAAACAATTACAACTTAGTCGTACTATAAAGATCAGATATAAATACAAAACTGTTTTCTCATTATAAAAATAATTCATTTCGTTTTAAATAAGCAGCAATCCTATGGTTATAAGACAAAAACAAAGTCTAAACACTGTGTCTACCAATGAATTTTCTAATTCCTGAAACCATCCTGCCCTTTAAAATAACTATGCTCTTAGGTTTTAAAATTTACCTCAGTGGGAAATTCTGAAAATCTGGCAAAGTGAGTGAACCGTCTCAAAACTTTGTCCCACCACCTTCCTCCTGGGGAGACTCAATGACTAAAATACCCATGGCCAGGAACCTGGAGAAGATTCCAGATATATCTCAGAAAAATAAATCCCAGTCATCAAGAAGAAGGTAAATATTCATGTTTTGATTTGTTCATCCATTTGCTTCAAAACAATATTTATTGAGTATGTGATATCAGGAAACATTTAGAATCAAGCACCAAATGGCATCTCATAAAGTTTACATTCTAGTGGGAAGAGAAAAATAAATGAACACATAGCTTCCTGAAGTTTATTCTTAAATAAGTGCTTCAGTAATTAAACCAAGAGACAAAAACATACAAAAATCTGTTGCATTTTTATACACTAATAATGCATTAACAGAAAGGAAAATGAATGAAACAATCCCACTTACACCTGCATTAAAAAGAATAAAATACTTGGGAATAAATTTAACCAAGGAGGTGAAAGACTTGTAGTCTGAAAACTATAAGACACTGATGAAAGAAATGGAAGAGGAAACAAAAAAATGGAAAGATTCTCCACGCTCATGGATTGGAAGAATGTTACTAAAATGTCCATACTGCCCAAAGGACTCCACAGATTAAATGCAATCCCTACCAAAATACCAATCATACTGTGCACAGAACCAGAATAAATAATTCTAAAATTTGTATGGATACACAAAATATCCCCAAATAGCCAAACCTGAGAAAGAACAAAGCTGGAGGCACCATGGTCCTGGTTTCACACTGTGCTCCAAACCTACAGTGATCACGGCACCGGCACCAGCACCGAACACCGACACAGATCGGTGGGACGAAACAGGGACTCCAGAAACAAACCCGCACTTACATGGTCGATTAATCTACAACAAAAGAGGCAGGAATATACAAAGGGGAAAAGACAGTCTCTTCAATGTACCTGGTGCTGGGAAAACTGGACAGCCCTACATGGTAAGACTGGAACTGGACCACTTACACCACACACAAAAATAAACTTGAAATGGATTAAAGACCTAAATGTAAGGCCTGAAACCATAACATCTCCCAGAAGAAAAACACTGTCAGTCATTTAACTCTTAGACATTAACCTTAGCAATATTTTTTTTGGATTTGTCTCCTCAGATAAGGGAAACAAAAGCATAAACAAACAAGTGGGATGACATAAAACCAAAAGGCTTTTGCACAGTGAAATAAACCATCAACAAAGAAAAAGGAAACCTACTGAATGGGAGAAGATATTTGCAAATAATATATCTGAGAAGAGACAAATATCCAAAATATATAAAGACTCATACAAATCAACACTCAACACCAAAAACAAATAATCTGATTAAAAATGGCAGAGGACCTGAATACACGTTTCTCCAAGAAGACATACTTGCAACCAGCAGACACATGAAAAGACAATGCCAGGAAAATGCAAACCAAAACCACAATGAGATACAACCTCACACCAGTCAGAATAACTAATATCAACAAAACAAGAAACAACAAGTGTTGGTGAGGATGTGGAGAAAAGGGAAATCGTGTCACTTCTGGTGGGAATGTAAATTGGTGCAGCTACTATGGAAACAGTATGGAGGTTCCTCAAAAAATTAAAAACAGAAATAACATCTGATCTAGTAATTCCATCTCTAGGTATTTAATTGAGGAAAAATGAAAACACTAATTTAAAGAGATATAAGCACCCCTATGTTTATTGCAGCATTATTTACACTAGCCAAAAGTGTAATAATTATTTTAAGGATACAGTACATAATACATACAGCATATACAACTATTAAAAATTACCAAAGAAAAAGAAAGATAACCCCAAATTCCCAATTTGGTAAGGGTGGAGGAGTAGGGGGAGGCAAATTATTTTTTAAAAAGAAATCAGCCCAAGTAAGGAAATGGGAATAAATAAACATCAGGGCATCAATATGAAATATAAACAGCACCTAACACACACTGCATCCATAAATGCACTTGCATTAATTCACTTAACAATACCACATGAGATAGGTACCACGATAGAATCCCATTCCACAGATGAGCAATCTATAACATACAGAGACTAGAGCTCATAAACACAGTTGATCATTGATAGAGAGGAAATGCAAATAAATGAACAAAACTAAATAGTCATTTACTGTAATGAAGATGAATGGTTTAAATTTACTTATTAAAACAAAAGTTTTATAAAATTGTGTTAAATAAATAACATTTAGGATTTGGCTGCTGGAAATTTGACTCCAGAGGCTGTGATTTGAATCTCTAAAAGATACTGTTTGACAATGAAGGTTAAAAGAAAAATATGGGGGGAGTGGAGCCAAGATGGCAGCGTGAGTAGAGCAGCAGAAATCTCCTTCCAAAACCACATATATTTATGAAAATACAACAAAGACAACACTTCCTAGAATACAGACCACAGGACACAGGACAACATCCAGACCACATCCACACCTGCGAGAACCCAGCGCCTCGCGAAGGGGGTGAGATACAAGGCCTGGCCCGGCGGGTTCCGAGTGCCCCTCCTCCCAGCTCCCGGCGGGTGTAGAGGAGTCAGAGCGGGAGGGAGAAGGAGCCCAGGACTGCTGAGCACCCAGCCCCAGCCATCCGCACCAGAGCGCAGACACAGTGCATGAGCGGGGCCCTGGATACTAGGAAAACAGGGCAGCAGGACCCGTGAGCGGGTGCCTGAGGCCGACGCCAAAGAACAAAGAAACGGGAATGGCCATTTTTTTTTAATTATTTATTTTATTTTTGTTGTTGCTGTTGTTGTTTTGGTTTGGAGAGTGCTTTTTGGAAGTCTTAAAGGGGCAGGGCAGGACACTTAGTCCAGAGGCAGGGAATCTGGGGAACTCTGGGCACTCTAACCCCCTGGGCAGCA